TGCAATTGAATCCTAAATATCATATATTATGCGGTTTTATTTACGGTCGGCGAATAACGTGCAATTCGCTGCAGGCTGGCGGCTTATGTAGCATTGACGGTAATTCAGCTCGTACACGTGATGAAATTGGTGTATTTTTTGCTGTCTGAAAGCCTTGAGAGTAAATGCATGCACTGCAAATGGTTAGAACTACCTTAAATTTAAAAATTTTCTATTAATTTCAAAATGGGCCTTTTTGGGCCTTTTTTGTGAGTTAAATTGCCCTTTTTCTCTTGGCTCCATCTAGCAACCGTCACTCAGTATCAGTTTATTAGTCAGTCGACAGCTGCCGACCGTGGAAGTAGGTGTGCGTGTGCATCTTCTATAATATAAAAGAAGACTTTGTAGGATGGATAATTTGTCGCTCTGAAGAAATTATGTGATCAAGCATGATTTATATAACTTATGCATTTCAATGTTAAATTTTGGATTTGGTCTCCAGAGCTTTCCCGCTTTTACAATTTACATAAATAACTTGCTGCAATTTGTTAAAAAAACACATGAAGCTTCACTTGTTACGTAATGGAAGTGAAATGATAAGTGCTTTTTGTTTGTGATCAACTCGCTTCATTATGGATGTCATGACAATTATCTTTTTGTTAAAAATTTTCTTTAATATCTGTTAGATTGTTCACAAATGTCGAAAGTTACAACTTACAATGTCAACAAACAGGATATTATCAAACAAATTGCCTGGTGTTCACCATCCCAATTTTTTCAATGACTCTATCTTGTGGGGAATAAAATTTCTTTAGGAATGAACCGTATTTAGTAGTGAAATGTTGTCGGAAAAGAACTGGAGGACGACTACCTAGCTTATTCAAAACTAGATTAGTATGAGCGGCAAATTTCTCAATAAATTAAAATATGCAACGGTTTCACAAGGACTCCCTTTCGCGTAAATTCAAATAGTTCAAATGTTTTTTGTTCACTTTACCGTGCTTTATTTCTCGTTTGGGCGTTATTTGTTAAATTTTAGCTCTTTTTTCGGGTTTACCGCCGGAATTTTACTTTTAATGGGGATTTTGGCTCGTTGTCCCGTGCTCAATTGCACATTTTCACGTACCTGACACATTGCACGCACATACATACGTATATACTGGCAATTTACACGTGCATATTTGCTTTGCTTTATTTCATATCGTCTGCCCTCATACTTTTTCCCATACTTACTCTCGCTCATTAAGCTCTTCTAGGCTCTCCCTACACTTCTAAAACACCCTCTCTTCTTCCTCCATACCCATTCCCAAATCCTATCTTTTTCCATACGTACCTACCTACATTCTACTTTAGCCCAGCTTTGACGTTATCTTTTACTTACTCACTCATGCACATGTACATTTCCTTTTTCAAGGTGTCCTATGCAATGGCTATTTTCAACTTTCAACCGGTCCGTTGTAACGTCACTAACGTGCAATGGGAAGTTTCAAACGCTGCAATAGGAAGTGTTAATTATTTCGAAGGGAAAGTGCAAGCGCTAAATACGATGGTAGTTTTCCCAACATTAATGTAACTTCCGGCCACTGGAAAAAATTTCGTGTGTTACCATTTCTTTAGCGGCTTCATCACTGGACTTGCGGCAAATTAGTGCCAGGATCACCCCCACCCTGGGTGCATATCCGGAACAAATTAGGGGTGGTGGAATGTGAATGCATCAACAGTTTAGTGTAAGTAGTTGTGTCGGCGTCTTTAAGGTTAGGCTGGCTAGGTGTGTCATGTCGCTTATTTTTCTGTTTTATCACTAGATGGAGCCAATTTATCTAATGTTCGTCAATTTCTGTAATTTTCGTTAGATTAGGCCAAGTCGGGTCTGTCGCTGATTCTTGTAGTGTTATTTAAATGAAGCCAAGCGTGGCCAGTCGCAGATTCGTGTAATGTTACTTTGATTAGACAAGGTTAGGAACGCCTGCGATTCTTGTAATGTTTGTTAGATTAGACAAAGTGTGGAACATCTTCGATTATTGCTATTTTGTTCGATTAAACCAGTGGTTTCCAAACTTTTTCAGACTGGCGCCCCCTTTGGCTCCCTAGTGAATTTCTAGCGCCCCCCACAGACACGTATAAAAACATACGCCTCTTTCTTGAAATTTAGTACGCTGCAATTGTAAAAGATAAAGGTTAAACACAAATGTGTATTTCACAAGTAGAACCCCGTTTAGTGAAGCAATATGTTTTTAAGCTGTTTTAACTGTTTCAGCACTAGAAACCTAGGACGTCTCGGGCGAATTTACGGCCGGACTCGTGGCCGGTCTCACGACCAATCTCCAAATTCAATCATCAAGTAATATCTCCCAAACTAATGAACGTAGCTCAATGAAACTTGGAACATGTATTCATCAGAACATAACGGTGATGGTAATACTTTAGATTAAGTGCATCCAAAACAAGGGTGTTTTTTTTAATTATATGTTTTTTTGGGTGTAGATTAAGAATATGAAATCCGTTTTTGGCAGTCGGCATCGGAAATTTTTAATGGAACCTGTTCCTAACTGGACTTAACCTGCGAGGTTTCGTTGAATGGCTAGGTTTTATCGGCCGCCGGACGGACTCCAAACATAGAAAAAAACTATTGGCTAGGTTTTTCCGGCCGCCGGACGGACTCCAAACATAGAAAAAACCTAGCCGGTCAACGAAAACCTCGCAGGTTAGGTCCAGTTAAGAACAGCATTAAAAATTTCCGATGCCGACCGCCAAAAACAGATTTCAGATCCTTAATCTACACCCCAAAAAACATATAATAAAAAACACCCTTTTTTTGGATACACTTAATCTAAAGTAATACCACGGTGATTTTTAGCTCGTGAAAATGTTGAAATTTCACCTTCAATTGTGAGTTATTTTGCGATAAAGGCCGAAATTTGCAGTGATCAAATAATTTCTTCCAAACTACGGAACAGATTTGAACGAAATTTTGAATATACATTCTTAACTACCAAACGGTTATTTTTTAGCTTCTAAAAAAATTTCGATTTACCTAAGTCTGCAAGTTTTTTTTTTATTTCACCGTCATTCTTGATTTCACACTTCCTTATATTCGGCCGCTTATGGCCGGATAATTTGTCGCTTAAATTCGCGGCGATCAAGAAATTTCTTTTAAACTACTGAACAGATTTCAGCGAAACTTTGTATATAAATAAATACCTAACCTCCCAACGGTGATGTTTAGCTCGTGACAATTTTAATATTTTGCTTTTGTTATCGAGTTATACAGATATAGGAGGAACGACCGGCATTTCTACCGGCCGGTTTAACCAAGAGCCTTAATTATACGTATAGCCGTAAAACTCGCAAACGAAGGCAAAAAATTGTAGCGAGCAAAACATCACCGTTGCTGAGGTTAGGTATTTAAACACTAAGTCTCGTTCAAATCTGTTCAGTGGTTTTGGAAGAAATTTCTTGATTACTGCGAATTTAAGCACGTATTGCTGTTTAAATCACGAATGAAGATGAAATAAAAGAAACAAGTCACAATCGAATAAATTTTCACGAGTTAAATATTACCGTTCGGTAGTACGGAGGGTAAATTCAAAATTTCGTTCGAATCTGTTCAATAGTTTGGAAAAAATTCCTTGATAACTGTGAATTTCGGCCCGTATTGCAATTCAACTATGGCAAAAACAAATGAAGGCAAAAGGAAAAAAAATTCACGAGCTAAACATTACCGTTAGGTCCTACTGAATACGTGCACCAAGTTTCATCAAGTTAAGTTCATTAGTTTGAGAGATATTCCTTGATCATTGAATTTGGAAATTGCCGTGAGACCGGCCGCGTGTCCGGCCATTAATTTGTCCGAGACTTAAACCCAGGAGAGGTCAAAAAAACAGATATGGGTGAAAAAAACCATCGCTGAGAGCCATGATGTGCTGCAAGTGTTGTGTACAAATCGTCAAACAAACGTTGGAACTTCTGACTTTGACTTCGGACTTTGACTTCGGACTTTGACTTCTACCGCCTCCCAAACGCTCTCTTCTTCCTTACCGCCCCCAAAAAACTTTCCACCGCCTCTAGGTGGGCGATATCGCCCACTTTGGGAACCACTGGATTAAACGAAGTCACGAACGTCTATGATTCTTGTTTTGTTTGTTAGATTGAGCTTAGTCTCACCGGGGATCGATTCTTGTGAAGTTCGTGACTGGCTTCGAGGAGTTTCTAAAAACATTTATTTCGAATCAGAAGTTGGGTGTATAAAGCTTAATGATTTACTGCTAAAACATATATTCGAACCGCAAAAGATTCTTCAATCCGTTATGTTGAGGTAACTGCGAATGACATTGGCTTCTTGCATCATTCACGGCTGCTACGACGAAGTAAAATTCGCGATCTTGATGACCATGAAAATGACTGTATAGTCTTTTCTGAAACAGCTATTATTAAAGTGTGTCATATACTTCAGTTCAGTATCCTCCACTGTAAGACGCCAGTATGTTCGCATGAGTATGGTGATTACAGTTGTATGGCATTGGTAATTTAATGGTGATGATCAGCCGAATGGTGATTGCAGTTGTATTGTGTTTGCAGTTGTATTGTGTTTGCAGTTGTATTGTGTTTGCAGTTGTATTGTCTTTGCAGTTGTATTGTATTTGCAGTTGTATATTGTATTTGCATTGTATTGTATTTGCAGTTGTATTGTATTTGCAGTTGTATTGTGTTTACAGTTGATCCGTTGAGCACAAGTGCTAGCGTGGAGACGGTGTATGCAGCTTTAGAACGAGCAGCGTCAATTCTGCTCGCTAGACCTTCGCTCATAACAACTTTCCTTGTCGATCTTAACGTCATTGGGATTTCTCAAGGTGAGGCGCAACAGAAAATTCTATGGCTAGATGATATTCTCTCTAAAACCTACTGTCCATTGGTTGATCAAGCGACGACTTTTTGTCGATAAAAACCTGTTACGAAGAACTGATGCAAAAACAGCAATGTGTCTGGGTCGGCTGCAAAATGCCGAATTTTTATTTATTTTATGTCGATTAATTATGAACATTACTTTCTCAGAAAGTCTCATGATGGTGACCTTTTTGGAACAAGAAACTTGAATGATTAGCACAGCCTTGTGAGCAATAAATCAAGAATGTCGGGATTAAAGTTTACTCATTCCGCTTTATAACCATTTTGAAAGCCATTTATTATAAAAACAATAATGTCTGTAGACACGAATAAACTGCAAGTGGAGCAAAAAAATCTGGCACAAAATATGAGTGACTCCAAACAGAAGTCTGTTCCGGTTGATACCGCGCAACAGGTGAATGGTCGTCGTGTGGCGGAGGCAGCTGCAGCAGCTGCATCTGAAGCGGCGGTAACAACAGCAGCGGCGGTAACAACAGCAACGGCGGAAACAACTGCAGCGGCTGGAACAACAGCAACGGCGGGAACAACAGCAGCGGCGAGAACAACAGTAGCTGCGGGAACAACTTTAGCTGTTTCCTCGGCTACTGGGCCCAGCAAAGTGAAGGACTTTGTCGTCAAGAGACTCTGGGAGCTCTGGGCTGATCTCAAGATTAAGGAGTTCGTGCCAATAAAACTGCTAAATTTCCTCATCTTTGGAGGTAAGGCGCAGCAATTTTTAGTTAAAATTAATTTTTAATGCATGTATCTGCCAGCCGAGCAAATTGCATTGATGCGAAAAATATCAATTATTTTCACTACTCTGAAGTCCTGTATATCTAATGTAAGCTCGAGAGAAGTGAATTACGATATCTGTAAAACCATTTATTCATTAGTTTTAAACATATTAATGATATCAAACCGCAATTTTTCCAAACCGCAATATCAAACCGCAAAAAAAATTGAATACCGACCAGTGATCAGTTTACTTAGGTGTTGCGTGTCGATTATGGTATGAAAAAGAAGCTTTGTTTGCATGGATTATATTAATCAGGAACGGCTTGAAAACAAGCTTTGAGAGGCTACTCCATTAATAATTTATACTGAATATAAATTTTACGAGGTAGTGTAGCGAGGGCAAAGCTGCTGAGGCTTGGAGCATCTGAAAGTGTCTTGATTGCAGGTGAAAGACGCCTGTTAGGAAGCAGTTAACTAACTAGGTCAGGCCTTGCTGAACTTTAGATGCACCCAAATTCTAATGCCTATATAGTGTATTTTCTACCAAATCTTTATGCATAGAAGCCTCGAATGTGCAGTCGTCTTTCACAAGTCTATGTTCTGCCCGTTAATTGTAAATTGTCCATTTCATCGGCAAAGTAATGCAAATATTGTTGGTATAAAGTCATTTAATTAATTGTGAGTCACATTTTAACGTATGTATATCAATAAATCGCCAAATTAGCATGTCAATAAATTAATATCACACTCCATGTTATTTAGAAACATGTGTATGCACATATTTCCATGTTATCCACCTGTTTGGAGGGTAACCATCTGTTGAACTTCCATTAAGTTTAATTTTTGAGAATATTCAGTGAGAATGGTTTTAGTAAAAATTGGTAAGCTGCATGCTTGATATGACTTAGAATATATGACCCAAAAATGTATAGAATTTAATGTATGACAGAATATATATGACCCAAGCAGGAGGAGCGTAATCTCGGGTTCGTTCGATGACAGCTATTTTATGCATCATACGTACGGTTGTATTGTTTATTCCACGTACGCTCTCAGATTGTGCGTGTTCTGTGTCATGAGTTACCCATTAAAGTTCATACAAAGCGATGGTAGCAAGCACGGTAGAGTCTACCTACACATATTTGCTGCTGCATCAACTGTACAGGATGTACATGAGGTTTAACATTAGATTGTTTCTCACGGCTGCTGACCTTGAGCTCACTCACATGTACACAGGTGTCCTTCAACAGCTGCATGGGTTCATCAATTCATCTATAATTTACGCTAGATTTAATCCCACGTAAGAGACTTCTGGTTAAGAATATTGTGTTTAACCAAACAATTTTCTATATCAATTAATACCAAAACGGTCTTTCAATCGGGTCGCCATTTTATCATATTTTGTCGTCAATCGAATTGACAACGAAATACAAAACGAAGTAAGCGATTCCCAATTTATATCACCTCACTATTTCTCGCGGCATCAAAATTCTAGTAACGCTGCTATTGTTTATTCAAAAGCTAAAAATGCGCTATGTCGTGGCGTAGTGAATGCATGATAAATTTTGGTGCCGAGGCAATTTTTAAACTAAAGATGCTCAGTGAAGTCTGGCCGGTGCAAAGAACATAGCAAAACAAATGAATTAACAAAATAATTAAAATGAATTATTTCATTATTATTAAGGTATTGATTTGAAGTAGTAGTCATTTTTCTCCCTCATCCATTAAATTATAGATGATTACTTCATACTCCTTCATTTGCTATACGTTTGGCAATTTGTAGACACGGATGTCTGAAGCGGACTATACTTTCGCAATTTACAAGATTTATTCCAGTCGAAGCATCATGGACGAAAGTTATTTTACTGAGGCATAAACCAAGCGCCGAAACTGGTTCTGCAATGAGGAAGCAGCTAGAATTGACTTCTTGCATAAGCCTGCAGGTTAGCTGACTGTTTATTAAAACAGTCGTAAAACCCTGGATGCTCCACAATTAAGTATATTAGAAAAACTTCAGTGGTGGAACTAAGCGCTGATTCTTAAAGCCAGGCAATAGTCATTGCGTTTAAATCCTACCCCATGCTCTGAATTTGCCACTGTTGTTAGTATGCATCAAAGACACCAACTTAATCAATCCTGTTGCAAAAATTACAACCTTGAGAAAAACCCGTTATTGAGACTATGCTATTAAGTCTCGTTTACTTGATTGTTCCATGTGTACCTCCGTTTGTCGCAATCGGTTTTAGCACTTATTTTTCTCGAGTATTTTTGTGATACGTCTGTGACGATCGCAGACGCATGTTAGTAACCATCAGAAGTCATGTGGGATTTCAAACTAAATCTTTGTCCTTGAAAGAGAATCCCATCACAGCTAGAGCTCGCGGCGTGTGATTGCCGGTCTCAGTTTAGCAATGTAGCCAGGATATACGAGTACCTCGAACTTGGCGTGTGATTGCGGGTCTCAGTCTATAGCGGGGGGAGGTGCAATGTAGCCAGGATACCTCGAACTTCCCTTCACCTTGCGCTCGCTTACGGCTATAACGTCTGTTATTTAAGCGATCTCTCGTACAAGCGCTGTTCTCGTGTCTATTCTTTGTTGTTCGGCGTGGTAGTGCTGTTCTTATTTTGCGCCTGCTGGGGATCAGCGTACAGCGGCATATTTTCAAACAAAAACCTGGTTTACACTTGTATTCTTCAACCTTCTGATTACACTTGTATTCTTGAAGGTTTGAAATGATGATGGAACAGGTCTGGAGAACGTTTCAATTGAATTATGGATTTACGTAGCATTTTCTTTACCTTAAAATTCTTGATCAACAAAAAAATCAGATAATGACTGTGTTCACAAATGAGGTATGTAGTGACAGTTCAAGTACTGAGACTTTCAGAAATGGTTTTTGATTGAGTGTTGAGTCGAATTGTAAAAAGCAAATATGAAAGTCATATTTTGCATGGGCAATTATTAAACGTCCGAAACATCAGACTTAAATTTTGATTAATTAAGATTGTACTACGAAATAGTACAGTTGATATTTAGGTTGAAGCACTTTTAGGAAAAATGAACCTGAAATGAATAATCTCTACATAATACAGTATAAACGCAAATCGCAGCGTAGATCTTGAAGTCTGTATGGTTCGCCTGATCAAAGCAAAAGTTCCGAACCGATAATTCATAATTTTTTGTCAGCCTCGTGCATTGCACAAAACCGGTCTTGCTCATCATCCATGCATGATTGCCTGGGCTGATTGACATCAACCGAGTCCACCTAGAACGTTGCCGGGCTGATTGATATGTACCATGTCGATCTAGAATGTTGACAGGACTGATTGACCTGCGCCGAGTCGATATAGAATGTTGCCAGAACAGGATGAAACGCACCTAGTCGATTTAGAATGTTTCCGGGCTGATTGACATGCGCACATCGAACATTCGAGATTCACCGACCTAGAATGTTGACAGGACTGATTGACATGCACCGAGTCGATCCAAAATGTTGACAGGACTGATTGACATGCACCTATTCGATCTAAAATCTTGACAGTACTAATTGACATGCACCGAATTGACCTAGAATGTTGACAGGACTGATTGACATGCACCGAGTCGATCTAAGATGTTGACAGGACTCATTGACAAGCACCGAGTTGACCTAAAATTTTGACAGTACTTTATGACATGCCCCGAGTCGACCTAGAACGTTGACAGTACTGATTGACATGCACCGAGTCGATCTAAAATGTTGACAGGACAGATTGACATGCACCGAGTCGACCTAGAATGTTGACAGGACAGATTGACATGCACCGAGTCGACCTAGAATGTTGACAGGACTGATTGACATTCACCGAGTCGACCTAGAATGTTGACATGACTGACTGGCAGGCAGCAAGTCGACCGAGAATATTGACAGGACATTGAAATGCATCGAGTATACTAGTAGACCAAGGATTGAGCGCGATGCAAGCTCTTAAATTTGAGTGTAAGTCTATGCAAAATTGACCAGGAGCAATTTGGAAAAGATCGGTTTCGATAAATGATTTTTAGAGTTACGAATGCGATGTGTTTAGCTCTTACGTTTGTTAAATATAAAAAAATAATGCTATGGAACTGTAATTCAACTTATGGCTGATTTCAAAATTTCGCGCCGGCATTTTTTTGGAGGAAACTTTAGATCCATATTCTTCAAAAATTGTAAAGCTTATGTGGCTCTTGACAGAAATAATATCTCTGTTCCCGATATTGATAGGAATAACGGCTCTAGCTGTTCCCGTTAGTGACAAGAATGATGCTCTGTTCCCGTTATTGACAGGAATGATGGCTCTGTTCCCGTTATTGACAGGAATGATGGCTCTGTTCCCGTTATTGACAGGAATGATCGCTCTGTTCTCGTTATTGACAGGAATGATGGCTCTGTTCCCGTTCCTGACGCTGCAAGCGCGGTCACTTGGAATCACGGAGGCGGAGCTGGGAATCGTGTACGCGTTCCTACCGCTCGTTGCCTTGTTTGGTCCCCCCCTTGCCGGCATGATCGCTGACAAACTTGGCAACTTCAAAGTAAGTGGACTGCAAATTAGGTAATTTCGTTGGCCACTAAACTAGATAACTACAAGACAACAGACGGGTAATCTAAATATTTTAATGTACTGGCTCTTCTTAACTGGGTAACTTCGTGGCAAGTGCTTCGTAACGTGGATAACTGGCTTGTCAAGTTGTCAAATTTAAGGTAGTTGACGAGTAAGCGAAACAAGCTTGCCGACAATAGTTCGTCAGCTGGAGAGCTTGGTGGCAAAAGGGCCGTAGACTCGGTGTTATCTTGTCAATTGATCCCTAAATTAGAAAAAAAAAATTTGAGGTAACCGATACAGCATATGTTCGCTAACTGGACAACTTGAAGTTGACTTTACGTAAACAGGGTGGCAAAAAGTAGCTCAGGAGTAAAGAAGCTTAACAACTTTCTCGGAAACTGGGTTACATGAAAAGTCACTGCTAATTTTTCTAACTTGCATGCATTATTTTAAGCTGATACATTAAGGAAAATTTGCCGTTTTGAAGGTAATTGGATAATTTTGAGGTCACTGTGAAGTTTCATAACAAAATGCATCATCTATTTCAGATGATTATGCCGGTACTTGAAACATGTAGAACAAATGTACTCCTAACGGACCATAAATTTTTCTCAAATGCTATCATCAAAGATTTGCATTTGCTCTAGTCCGCATCGGATTTCATCATTTATTTTCAGTTATTGAATCAATATCAATCGAATTTACTAAGTCTATTAGAAAATAGAGTCTTGGAAGGAATGATGGTTTCCTCACAGGCCACAGCAAGCGACCATTAATACGGAGTGCGCAAGCAGAAATGGTTTCCAAATCGATTTACCGAGTAGAGAAAAATATCACGTTACTATACTAGAGTTTTGCTCACAGTACGAGTGCACTGTAAATCTCAGCCAACTTTGGCAATTTATTTTCCGTCAGTATCAACTTCCATATTTAGTTTCTTAATTATATAATTAAATAACATATACACTTAATTACTTCAAAAACTTAATAAATGAGATGTATATTTATACAAATAAATACCCGGCGGGATCAAGTCCTTTATCTGTGCGAGTGGCGTTATGCTTATAGCATCTATTGCGGATATACGAGGCCATGGTTGTCTATGAATTAGCACGTTGCATGAAGCGAAGAACCGCAGGCAGTTTAACGGTGACGGGGAAAAAATGTCTGCATACTCGGATGCGTTGGGCTTGGCTGTCCCCAAATAAAATTTTAAATCTGCTTCCCTCTTGACTGATTCAAATTTACTTTCGGTTATATTATCGTAATGTAGTGTTGTTCATGACGGGATTCAGAGATGTATTTTAAAAGTTGGCCCGAACACACATTCTCCATTGTCAATGCTATTCTAATAACAAAGGCCTATTAACTAGATTTATCACCAGTGGACAGAGTCTTACAATGCTTGGAAAAGTCATTCAGTAGAACTTAACAACTAATCTAAGCTGCATTTGATAAAACTAAACTAAATTTGACAGTGCAGAGCGCTGCAATCATAAGTACATGGAATCTTTTTTGCTCAGCACCGATTGCTGCTTGTGACCATGAAACTCCCGTTTTAAATCTTAAATAAATTTCACAGCTATTCCTGGCGGTGATGGTATTCGCTTCGGGACTCACTTCGCTCCTGTACATGGCGGTGCCCGTAGGTAGGATACGACTTCCCATGCCCGAGGTGCTCCCGATGTCGCTGGAGTGCGAGGACGCCTCTGATGCACCCCACACACTCCACACCCTCGACCAGTTGCGGTGCGAGTACAGTCAGGTTCTCCTCCAGCCTGTCCAGGTGCTGCTAACGTCGTGCTCACCACGCTGCCTGGTCAATGGGTGAGCATCCCGTTCTTAGTGATGCTCTTTATCACATCACCTTTAATATTATTACCAAGATTTTAATATTATAGTAGAATTTGTTAGGTTGATCTAAAGCACGCCGGGAGTAATAGCTTAGAAATTTAATGATTATTTTTTGCACAAAACACATATATTTTACTACACATACTACGCATACTTTAATTTGCCATTTTATAACGTAATCAGTCGTCACTGGAACTTTTTGTTAGGTTGAATGGATGTCTAACCAACATTTCTGAAGTCAGTGAGTGCAACGCAAGTGAAAGCTACGCTGGTTTACCAACTCATGAATTTTAGCGAGTTTATTTGCTCAATGCTAAGCAAACCATTGCCCAATTACGGTGCATTCTGTCCACAGCACCGAGCCGAGTAAAGATGCAATCTCACGGCGGTTCGAAGAAGCCTTCACTTCAGAGCCGAAATCGAGTGTCTCCTTTACCGAACTTGTGGCAAATATTCCTTCAATCAGAGACTTTGACCCTGCCCATATCTACGAGACGCACCGCGCTAAGCTTGAACTATCCGGCGAAAACCAAACCTTAGTTTTGACTGAGGATATTTGTTCAAGTCTAAATGAGGTATGCATTGTTAATATTTTCTCTCATGCTCATGAATAAATTACTAGTTTTTTGCTTATTATTGGCATTTGAAAAAGTTTGAGCTACGGTCGTGCTAAGATGCACTTTACACTCGTATCCTAACGTCATGTAATAAATAAATTTTTCTAGCGCTTACGAGCCTGGCTTGCATCCGGAAGTTCAAAACCAGTAGGGAAGAGAAGCCCGGCGGCTCTTCCATCAAGGTCCTCTGACTCTTTTGCTGACTCATCATCTACGAAACCTGCTCCCTCTCCTTCTTCACTCGATGATGAAGTTTCATTAATGTCCAAGTCATTGATGGGGTCAGATCCTGAGGATTGCTATGCAGTATGCAGGGTGCTGGTCATCAGAGACAAAGTCTGCGCTAACACCGAGAGTGTTGAAGATTTGAACCCGCAACTCACCTTCTGGCTCTACGTCGTCGTCAGGCTGCTCAACTCTGTCACTCTCGGTGCGAGCAAGAAAATACACAGAATTGTGATAAATTTTTCGTTGCATTCGTAATCCAAGTAAATAAAATGTGCAATAATGAATAGTTACAGCTATGTATATGAAAGTGGCTACTAATATTGCATAATTTGGATTGCCTATAGACTTTTTGAATTTGTATTTACTCGTAAATCGCGCAACTTAAGTTGCAGGATCGTCCTTCATAAAATATCATTTTTTATCCACGTCATCCTCGAGAATCTCAGATGCCGAACAGTTTTATCGTCATTGTGTTTTTTTATGAACGACTAACAGCGACATCGATGCCTCTGTTCGAGGGGGCGGTAGTGACCATATTGAAGCAGTACGATGGCGACTTCGGCTTCCAGAAAATCTACGGCAGTCTTGGACCCCTCATCATGACGCCCGTTTCTGGGGCTCTCATTGACGCTTTCTCTACGGATGGTAGCCAGGACTACCGGTGCGGACGTTGAGAGATTTCCAGATTATTTTTAACATGCTATTTCTTCTACTGCAGTGCCAAAACAGCACATAAATTAATAGCGCGCTTAAGTAATGTGTACTTTGATGAATCATATATTATAAAATATGGCAAAATGATTGAATGTAATAATTCATATATATTTTTGAAGTTCAGACGAAGTTGTACAATATTTTTACCCGAACGAAGTTTGTATTCTGTGTAAGTTGTTGATGTAGGCTATACTGTTATGAATAGTGGAAAATTATTCGTTAGAAAAGTGGACGGCAGCTGTTTTGAAATATTTTCAGTTGCCTTCACTTTTGTCTGCTAATTTATTTTTTTTGTCTCACAAATTAATTGCTGTTAGATTACTAATTTACATCTATTATTTACAACTAATTTTTCGGGTAATTAAACTCATATTCATTGTTTATTTCAGGCCTGCATTCTACGTGTATTTTGCCGTAAAGTTGATCTGCACCGCGATTATCCTGACGATGAACTTGGAGTTCAAGAAACCTTCTGAGCGCGTCATTAAAGACTTCAAATCCATAATAACAAATCAGGAGATTTTTTGTTTCCTGGTCATGTGTTTCGTGGCAGGTTTGTTCACGACTTGAAATCGTATAATTAATGCGAAAATGAACACGAGCTTAAGAAGCCATCTCAGACTTAAAAACGCGTTTTTTATTTATTTAAGATAAAGAGACTGAAAAATGTGATTGATACGCAATTGATAATATGCAAAAAAATGCTATAAAGTGTAAAGATACTTCAATTAGAAATGTTTTTCTTGGAGCCTTGCCATGTTGTGAGATGAATTTATCTGCGGAATATGCAAAAAATACTATAAGGTATAAAGATACTTTAATTTGAAATGTTGTCCGAGAGCCTTGAGAGATGAATTTATCTGTGAAAGATGAACATTTCTGACAGGCGCGTGTTTCGGAGCCATGGACACGTTCTTGTTTTGGTTGCTGCAAGACATGGGCGCCTCCAAGAGCTTGATGGGCCTGACTGTGACAGTGGGTAACATTTGCAGTCTCCCCATCCTGCTGTTCGCGTCCCCCATCATCGAAAGTCTGGGTGCTGTCAACACCATCATTCTAGGCTTCAGCTTCTATGTTGTGAGATTTATAGGTAAGATTTCAAATCAATGTTTATTCTTACTGTATTTGATGTTGGATTTCAGTCAGGGGTGATCACCGTCACTTATTAACCCATGTAACATCTCAACTACTACTTGCTTGAGCTTTTTTCTGAATTTCTTTCTTATGATTCTATTTTCGTTGTTATCTTACGAATTATGCATTTGCATCCAATTAAAAAATCTAGGTCATCACTCGAAACTTACTATTGCACGCCTACGTTTTGGTTTTTCGTTGAATGACGTAGATAAAAGAATTGGCCGGGTACTAATCGTTGGCTTACGTCACATTACGTGTCATAATTACCGTTCACTGAATGGCGTTCACTCTGCACTTGAATTCTCTTAGGTACTATTGCGTTCGATAATTAGGCGCAGTTGCGTTTCTCCGACTGTCACTTATAGCTCTACTTACCGTACATGAAGGTTATTCGCTGATTTACAACCCATGGCTTTGCATGCCATTCGAGGCTCTGGAATGCTTCACGGTGGCTCTCCTCATCACCGCAGCCATCTCCTACACGGCCGACCTGTCCTCACCTACAACTACAGCCACTTTACAGGGCCTGATGGGTGGTCTACACCATGGCGTGGGTTAGTAACAGCTTTTTTACTATACAGCTTAGGCACATGTCACAGTGCGACGAAGTACGAGAGCTTGGTTTTTGAACCATGGCGTGAAATCCGTCCATAGTCCTCAATGTACATAATCTTCAGATGCTACTGTCGAGCTTCTTGTCTCTGTAAGGTGATATCAGTCGCTTCGCTGGTGAAGCGTTCTTCAGGTGACGAAGGAATGGCCAGCGGTCGCCTTGAGATAATTGACTGCAGTCGGCCGCTGGCCACATCCCAAAAAATGGTATAAGTCGCTAAATTCATTTTAAAATGAGATATTTTTGTCACTGTCTAAAGATTGCAAATAAATGGCTGGATAAGCAACGAAAATTTCAGATTGCAATCTCATTTACGAGTGAAGTTCAGTTGAACCTACTAAATGAAGAAATCATATTGAATGCAGCTAAGCCTCTTCGAGGTCTCGCGGGTCTCAACTCTTCCCTTATATGCTAAATCAAATTGCAGTGTAAACGTTCATAATTACTTCGAATTTCATACATACTTATTATGTCAACAGGTCGAGGCGCGGGAAGCCTTGTGGGAGGCTTTCTGATTGCTGATATCGGAGTCCGAAGTACCTTTCAAGTCATGGCCGCAGTTTCATTTGTCGGAGCCGTCATATACTTCGTTATCAACAGAATTTTCTTCAGACAAGCGGCGTTAGAAAGGAAGCAAAAGAAACTGGAAGCCGTAGAAAGTAAAAATTTACCAATGATTCAACCGACTTTAGGAGCCGATATGAAAAATAAAATCTCCGATGTCGATAATAAACGAGCTGCAACGAGCAATGTAAATCAAGGTTTTGAAGGTGATGAATATGTTAGAAAGGCTTAGGTTGTTGAAGCTGTTATTTCAAATAATTTGAATTTTTTAATTAAAGTTATTTGCAATGTTGTAGTTCAATATGATTGATGGACCTATCTGACCAAAAACTAAAATTAATATATTAATGAAATAAAAAAATTATCTAATTTAGTAACAACCTATAATCTTTTTTCCTTAATTTAAGATATCATTTATTTCAATGCCACTTAATTTGTCACAACAGTAATGTCGCTGGGCTTGACGAGAGACGATATATTTTACGAATGAAACTGAACCGCAAGATCGTAACGAGAAGGAAACGGCATTGTGGTTATTTTGTGGTAAATGAAACCTTATCGTTGTTCTGTGACCAGTATAGTATGGTTTTTATCGATCAGCAGGGAATATATAGCGGCGATATTACTATGTTATGTTGAATGCTTTATCTGTGAGTAGGGACTCGTGTGTCCTTGACAGTAGAACTAAAAAAAATTGCAATGCGTTAAATAAATTCGTAAGTACAATTTTTTTCTATTCTCATAGGGAAAGCGCTGTTAGAAAATTTTAAGAAAGATTATGAAAAATCTTTCCAAAGATGCCAACACTCGACCGAACAGTTTTTTTCACATTCGAAGAAGAGGGTACTGCCCTTGTTCAGTGGGCGGCTTGATAAATGATAAGCGAGTCAGCAGTCCCTGCATAAATTTCGGTAGACCTTGCACGATCATTTTTGTTCAAGCATTCGAAGGTTGGTAATATGTAAGTGAAATCAAGTTGATTGATAGTAAAAAGAGACGCCTTTTGGATATGAGAGGAGTATATTGCCCACTTCAAGGTGTTACTTTTCCCTATATGTAGCAGACTTATTTCCCTATTATTGCTGGAAATAAGCTTGTATCATAGCAGAGTTTAAAATTCGTCGAAATAGGAGGAGTGAATAAACAGTATTGGTGTTGTTTAAGAAAAATTATTCAATAATGATAAACTGGGTATTCATTTGCAATTTCTGCAGTCACATTTTCATCTTTGACCTTTAGAGGTCCCGTGACAGCATCAGCTGGCAGATATTTTTCTGTTGCAGAGACGGAATACGGGCCACGGATGAATGTCGTAAAATTTTTGTGTCGTAGACTGTAGGTCTAAGTGTGCGATGACTGCCATCTGCGGCTAATGTGTTCCTATAAGAAAAAATCAAGCTGTCACGGTGTACGCATTGACTGACATTTCATCTCTGCTCTCTGGAAAAATTGATGAAAGTCATGAAACCATCGTAAATTACATACAAAACCAAATTTGTATGATAAAACGATAAGCTGAGTGATAGTGATACCTAAAGGATTGAGAATTCAGGATTCCAGCCTTGGCTTCCTGTCCTGGATTTAATTTTTTTGGTAGATCAATACAATTGTCTATTCGGAAGTTGGAGGACCAAGAGCTGTCATCTCTGGAGTCTGGATCCATTATATCATAATAATCATATACATGTGGCTATAAAATAATCAAATCATATAATAATGTAGTCTTGTAATTGTAAGTTCAAGTTGCAGGTAGCCGTAGCCTCACTAGCCTGTAGCTAGGTATACCTACCTTAGGCTACCTACCTAAGAGGCTAAGCCGCTAAGGTATGTCAATGTGCACAAAAAAAATTTTTACCTCTGAGGCTCTGATCTCTGAAAAAAATTGATAATTATACTGCTGAAAAGAGAAAAAGTTTGAAAAATACCAATTATACCGTAAAATGGGGTAACTTAGACCACTTTTTTTTTATAAATGATGCCATTTTTTTACTAGCTAAATCAAACTTAAATTGAAACATGCAAAATACAGGTCTATACTCTAGCTTCACTCACCATAAATTGCTGGCTCCTGCCTCTCATAGTCTTTCTGTAATTTCAAAAAAAGTGATGGTCTTTGTTACCCCAGCAGGCCCAGCTCTTGGGGTACCGGTAACTTAGACCGGGTGGTAAAATCAATTATATTTTTTTGTAAAATAACTCCAAATAACTCCAGGTTTTGGTGCATTGTAGTAGAACTCTTCTAGTTACATATGCAAATGACAAACTTGAGGAAAGTGTCATAGTTTGCAAATGGGGGGCACCGCCCCATAATGAGGGAAATGTGACTACCTAATGGCAGCCCTGATGGGGTAATATTGACTGGCTTGGAAATTAAGTTAAAATTACCATATATAAGACTCTGTAGAGTCTGAAACATAAAGAAAAAACATAAATAGGCTGTCAAACATAAAATATGTTATATATGGTAATTTTATATTAACTTCCAAGCCGGTCTATGTTACCCCGTCAGGGCTGACATTAGGTGGTCTAAGTTACCCCATTTGGGGGCGGCGCCCCCCATTTGCAAACTATGATACTTTCCTAAAATTTGTCATTTGCATATGTAACTAGAAGAGTTCTACTACAATGCATCAAAACCTGGAGTTATTTTACCAAAAAAGACCATCGATTTTTTTAAATTACATCAATACTATGAGAGGCACGAGCCAGCAATTTATGGTGAGTAAAGCTGGAGTATAGACCTGTATTTTGCATGTTTCAATTTAAGTTTAACTTATCTAGTAAAAAAATGGCATCACTTTGAAGAAAAAGTGGTCAAAGTCACCCCATTTTACAGTACCTACATATACAAATAAAAAATAAACTATTATTAAACAATAAAGAAGAGATATATGAATGATGATGATGAATGGATGATAAATAAATTGAAATACGTATAAATGATGGATGAATGATGAAACATGAAAGAACAATTTGAATAAATGATGAATGAATAAATAACGAATGAATGGAAGAATGAATAAAGAATGAATGATGGTGTTAAACAAATGATGCAGGTGCTGAGTAGGATAACCATGGGTTCATTGATGCATTCATTGTATGATAAATGAATGATAGGAAAATGATAAATAAATGTTAGGTAATGATTGATAAATGATGGACTTCCTTGACAATTTGATTTAAGTCCTGTACAATCCTGTTCATCAGTCAACAACAAATTGTACCAGCATTGCACACATTGCAGTGTCTGTTCCAAGATGATTGGATACGGTACCCAACACTTGTAGCATGAAGGGCTGTACAGGGCCAGGTTGTCCCTCCAGAAACTGTCAAACCTGCTCTTGAAGCTGCTTATGGAGGGCACTGTGACAACCAACTCTGGCAGACTATCCTGCGAGTTGATTACTTGCTGTGAAAAGAAGTTGCTATGGATGCTGAGTCGACATCTGCCCTTTGCAAGCTTAACCCCTTAACGCCGCTTGGCAAGTACACTTGCCACTTGCAAAAAATGAAATTACTACAAAACAACAAAAGTTGAGGTTTGAAATGGAGTCTCACGGTAACAAGACGAGTACCGAACGCGTTCTGAATGAGTAACAGCGGCGGCAGGCGCTTCATGCCTGCTCAGTTGGCTTTGGAATTTGATGGTGTGAGTCATGGCGCTACTACGTCATAAAAAAATGTAGGTTGTCACTTGTGTCAGCAAGTTAGAACTCACTACTATTGTGAACAGTTTTCTTAAACGAACGTCCTAATGATATACCGTATATATGCAATTTTTTTATTCTTATATAATATGACTACTATATTGTGACTTGAATATAGGTGGCAAGTGTACTTGCCACTATATAAAAAATATAAAAGTAGGATATAAAAGGGCGGATATAAAAGTAGGGAACAGCCCTTTTTTCCGGATACCAACAGAAAATTAGTATTCATTTGTTTAACTCTTATTCCAGGTTGTCTCTAGATGAAATTCATGACTTCTTCTCATTGCAAGAAGATGCAGACGACCAATTTGAAGTCAAAGTAGCAATAGAGCCCCCAGAAGAAACGCCTGAAGCTGCAACAGATCATGACAGTGATGCATCAGATGATGAAGTTATGTGCGATCCCGAGCACCTTCCGAGGAGAATTTTGCTCGCTAATGTTCTAAATAAATCTGTAAATGACGGTCAACTCGAAATTGTATCTAATCCAACCTCAACATCTACCAGCCATGGATCAAAACGTTGAAAAAGGATGATCTACACGTGGCATACAGATAAAAGCAAGATTGAAAATCTAGTACCGGATTTTAGCGATGCACCTGAGGAACAGTTAGTCAACGCCACTGAAACAAATCCATTGGAGATTTTTGAGGAACAATTTTGGACACAAGATTATATTGAATTTTTATGTGAACACAGTAGAAACTACGCTCATCGGAAAGGAATCCCTTGTAGCGATGTAAATGCCGAAAACATGAAGGTATTTTTGGCCATTCTTATTCTCTCAGGGTACAATAAGGTTCCTCACAGGAGACTGTATTGGAGTGAGTTACCTGACACTCAAAATAAATTTGTTATGAATGCAATGAGACGGGATGCCTTTGATCAAATAATGATGCTTGCACTTCAACGACAATACGAAAATGAATGACGATCGATTCTACAAGGTGCGTCCGCTTTTTGAACACTTGAACAATGCTATCAAAGATGAGAAATGTTGTGAATACTACAGCGTTGATGAAATAATGGTTCCATATTATGGAAGACATGGTGATAAGCAGTATATTAGAGGAAAACCAGTGAGATTTGGGTTCAAGCTTTGGGCAATCAGCACGTCTGATGGGATTCTGCGGCATGTTGAGCCCTATTGTGGTAGTCATTCCAGAATTTCGGATAGGGGTTTTGGTTTAGGTGGTAACGTTGTGCTAGAAATGATCGAGAAAGTGAATATGAAAGCCGCACAGCACATTGTATTTGACAATTTCTTTGGTTCAGTTTCATTAATAGAGGAACTTGCACAGAGGAAAATCGCTGCTACTTGTACTCTAAGAGAAGACCGACTATCTGGTGCCCCACTAAAAAAGAGAACAATTTTGGAAAAAGCAGAAAGAGGAACTAGTGATGAAGCATTCACAGGCTGCATCTCGGTTGTAAAGTGGAAAGACAACAAAGTGGTAAGCGTTGCCTCTAACAAACTTCGCACAGATCCTGCCAAGAAAGCAAAAAGGTGGAATCGAGTGGCCAGGAAACATATTTACGTTGACCTACCACACTCAATCTACGTTTATAACCAGCACATGGGTGGTGTGGACCTATTTGATCAACAAGTAGCGGCATACCGGTGCAGAATAAGATCAAAGAAATGGTGGTGGCCTCTTTTCGCTTGGACTGTGAATGCACAGGTGGTAAATGGATGGAGAATTTCTAGGAAAAATGGCAAGAAAATCAGCTTATTAGATTTTGCTCAGCAACTGGTGATATCAACTCTGACTAAATATGGGAAACCTAAGGTAAAACCAGGTCCAGTTTCAATGCCTGTTGTGAATACAGTGCGGTACGGCAGTCATCATCATTGGACCTACAAAGGCAAAAGTCCGTACAATAGATGCCGTGAATGTGGCGCCCGTACCATTTATTTTTGCAGTGTGTGCAACATTCCTGTACACCCAGAGTGCATGGAAACCTTTCACACGAAAAAATGAACTTTGAGTGGGCCATACATGCATAGATTCCATTGGCAAATCCATCCATGTACTTTAGATACCTACCCACTCTGGTTATCTCTTCTCTTGGACATATGATTTTTTTATAGCCTGATGGCAAGTATACCTGCCAGTCTGTATTTCGAGTAATAATAAAAAAAGTTAAATTTTTTTGTCACAATACTTTAGAAGGTACCTAAATAAATAAGTTAAATTGAAAAAAAGGGTTTTAATAATCTGCAGGGAATTGTCGGCGTTAATGGGTTAAGAGAGTCACCTCTAGTATCCCTGTTGCTGGATAACTGGGTTTTAACACCCTCAAGATGGTTTGCGGGTGGGTTTTAACACCCTGTACAGTGTACAGTCTGTGCATGTACTTGTACATATCAATAAGGTCACCAGTCACCACACAGGCGCCTATGTTCAAGGAAAGGGAGATGCAATGCTTCAAGCCTCTTGGAGTATGACAAGTCTCTGATTGAAGAGAGAAGCTTGGTTGCCCATCTCTGAACATCTTCAATGTCAGCACATAGTCTTGTGAAATGGCTGCCAGGCAGAATGTTCATGTTCAACTATTGCTGATTGGCTGCGGATATGAAGCTTGCAGTGGACAAGGTTGTTGTCAATGGCATGGAAGTTTTTTTTTTTTGGAGGGGGGTTTAAAAGTGTTAGGTATAAAACAGAAAAATAGCTTTTGTTTATGAAAAATGGATATGGTTATATCATCAATAAAGGAAAAACAAGCACAAATCACAGAAAATGTAATTCTTTCTACATCTAGATCATCTACATATTAAGAGGAGAACTTTGGGAAGAGTACACTCAGCATGATTCAAGATTTTGCCCAGATTGCCCCATTTCCAGGGCTAATTTTGTCAACTTTTTTTTTGCTTCTGGCACCTTATTTTTGGAGATTCCATACAATAGCGCTTGCAAAGACCTTTATTAAAAACAAGCACAAATTCATTTATGAAATGTTTCATGGTAAGAAGTTATCAAGGAAAAACAACAAAAATTGTCCCTTATTATCCTGTTTGATGGTATTAGTGAAATAAAGTAATGGCCATCTTCTTAAATCATGTTATGCTTCAAATAAAAGTGACTAAATTTAACTTTCAGATGTTTGTAAAAGCAGGTTTTAAAAGAGCTGACTGAGCAGAGGGAGGTTTCTTCAAGATGCATTGCCACCAGGTGCTGACTGGGGCATGTAATATTGGTGACAGGACTTTTGCAGTTGGGCGAGTGGAAGGAGTACCTTTTACAGTAAGTTGATTTGAAGGTCTGCTCATTTTATGATGGTATTGACATAAATTTCAAATTTTCAATGTTGCAGAATTAAATTACATCATTCCAATTTGGTTTCATATTATGACCCTAACCTACAATTTCTTGCCAATAAGCTACAATTTTAAGAGGTATGTAAAATTCTTCAAATATTTGAAAATCAACTTTCTCAAATTCAAACTTCTTGCTAGAGTCTTTTTTTGAGCTAAATCTGACCACTTGATCTTGTGGCTTCAGTTATTTTATTCATAATCTTGTGTTCAGTTCAGACTTGATGTTTCATCAATTTCTTTGTACTGACATGAAAAATGTATTAATATCTTTTGAATGACTTAATTTTTTATTTCACAGGCATACGCTGCTGGATGCAATGTGGTCATTCTTGCTTCTAATTTTGAGCGAGTTCAAGTCATCCCAGGTCTTTGCCACAACAATATCCAGATATCATGCATTGACTGCTCCACTGACACAGGAAAAATTGCTGCTGCATATGGCAAGAGCGTCTGCATATTTGAACCATCCCCCATTGCTCCATGTAACTCAAGACATGTAAGTGCTTTATGCTGGACTAACTTCTCATTGTCAACACTTTATTTCTTTTTACTCTTATTTGTCATATCTCTGAGAAGGAAATCTAGAGATTTGCAATGTACAATGTAATGCCAGAGATGTTATTTCAGTTGAGATTACAATAATTGTCAAGTAATTGAGATTGTGCCCAAGATCACCATAAAATTAGAAATCAGTCAGAATTTATTTCCATTTACCTTGGATTTGCAATGCCTATTTACCGTATCTGGTGTGGGATTAGCTCAGGGATCAACATTTTGATGCCAGTTGCACCAAATTGTGTTTAATATTTCGTGATCACAAATTTGTTTCTTTTTTATTGCGTGTGACTTGCCATTTAACTGTGGAGCTGGTGTAACTTGTGAAATTTTCTGTAGGTATGTGATTATGGTCTTATTCTAGCAAAAGAATATTTCAAGTATGAACAATGAAGAATATCCTGTAAATAAAGAAAGATTTGGTTACTGTTGCTTAACAGTAGAACCAAAAATTTGTGAAGTCGATAAGATTATTGGGGTATTGAGTTTTTATATGTACTGGAGTGTGATTTGAGCAGCACTTGGACTACGCGTGGGTTCAGACGGGTGTTGTGGAGGCCGAAAGCAGCATCAACAATGTCTCATGGAACCTGGAGGGCACTCGTCTCCTCTCAGCTGGTGACAGCTTACAAATGTGGAGCCCTAGGGGAGCTCGGCAGCACCCTGATGAAACTGGTGTGTCTTTATAGTTGCTGATCTTAGAATCTCGTTCAATTTTGATTTCTTTTCATATTTTAACTACTAATTAATCTGTTGATCAAGGTTTGAGGCTTTTTGCCTAATATAGATTATCTAATGGATTATGACTGAAAAATCAAATCAAATAATCCTCAAATAAATAGTTCATAAATTTATGTTTTCATGTTGGAAATAACATTGATGTACGGGCATGTTACAGCCATGCCCGTGATGTTTGATCTTGGCGGCGAGCAAAGTGATCTAGATGAGAGTGGAGATGACAGCAACATCGGCTGCTGGGATTGCATCTGGAAAATAACAACATCACAACCTACTCAGCTTATGTCTTTTTCTCCGGACGGTTGTCTGTTCGCTACCTGCGGTTCCAACGACCGCCTTATCAAGCTCTGGTATGACGACTCACACATACTTGGCCAGTCTCGGTCATCTCACGACGGGAGCCCTGATACCGCGATCAGCTATAGCTACGTGTACTTGCCTCATCCAGCAGCGGTGACTGGGTTCACGTGGCGTACCACCAGCAAGTACATGCCCAAGGGTAGTGTGAGCAACATGGTTGTTTCTTCGTGCAAGGACAACATCTGTCGTGTGTGGGTTGAGACAGTCTTGCCAGATGACGGGCTGATACCCATGCACCAGCTAGACCCAGTGGCTGCCCAGAATCCACGTTTCCGCACTCATCGCCACAAGCACAAGTTTGTTTCCCGCCTTAAGCACATCAAGGCTTGTTTTGGGTTGCGGCGCCAAACCAGGTTTCCTATAGGCATCAGTGCTTCTGGTTTCAATAGCTCAAAACTCACTTCTGGGCAGTCAATGAGCCCAACTAAAACTGGATGTGACCCAATAGTACCCACTATGCCATCGACTTATTCTGTCCACGACTTCCCATCTTATGGCTACCATGCCATGGGGGTGACTCCAGGTTTTCATTTCCATCTCGCGGCATCCATCAACGCCGCTACGGATATCCCGCTAGTGCCCAGCCTGTCCTCATCTCAGCCTGGTGGAGGAACCGATGACTCTGAGCATAACTTCGTGCTTCACTGGCTCAACAACAAGGAGATGCACTTCACTCAGGAGGCTGAAAATCTTCTACTTGAAGTTAGCAAGAAGGCTCTTGAAAAAGACATTCCCATTCATGCTATGGATGCCGACCGTCACTCAGACACGAAGGACGGTGAAACAACGTCGTCCACTAAGAGCAATCATCGCCCCTCCAATACCGGTGTCCGCGGTCGGAGTGTCGAGGAAGACGAGACAGCGCGCCCTCCCGCCACCAACCACAACCTTATGAGCGCTGCCACCTCGAGCACGAGCATCGCCACTGACGTCACCGCTTCTAACTCCGGTTATTATTGCTCACAATATACCTATCTCTTTTGTGTTTTAATACGCTGAGATGAATGCGTAGTCCCGTGCAGTATGTTATCAACTGTGACAACTTTCTATTCTGGCTAATAATATTGTTCTATTTCATCAAATAAAATTTGGAACATTTTAATTCAAATTGACCACAGTTATGCTTCCTGATTTATCTAAATTAGGCCTGGGCATATTATTTTTCCTAAATTCATGTAACGAGTACGTGTTTTATGTAATATGATGGAACATTATTTAATTTTTATTATATTGCTGATACTGACCTGTTGTTCTGTATGCTGTGGTAGCTCTTGGTGATGCCCTGGATCGGCGCATAGAAGCGCTGTTGCGCAATTGGCTACAGAGCTCCGACATGCTCTTCTCCGTTCATCCCGTGGATGGCTCACTACTGCTCTGGATTTTGGATTTCCTCGACGATTACCACGGGTCTTTCCGCCAGACTCAGGTGTCCTTCTGCGCTCGCATCCCGAATGCTCTGCCTCTGGGTGATGCTATGACCATGTCGCCTCATCTGGCGCTCTACTCGACGCCTTCCGTGTCGTTCGTTCAACAGCTCATTAAGCTTGAAGCTGCCCACGAGCTTGAGTGCCGTAATTACAAAGCTGGTATTAAATATAGCGGCTCAAGACACGCTACCAACTCTTTGCTCTCCGCTACAAAAGATGATGCTGAGTCACAGTTGCCCGTTGTTAGCATGACCACAAAACATGCCAACGGCTCATTGAATCTCTGGCATCTCACGGTTGAGGGGGGTAGCAAGTTCACTCACGTGCTCAATATTCTGCATCAGAGACGTGTGTGTGGCCACAGGTTCCAGCTGAATGCCGTCAAGTGCCATCCTGAACTGCCACTGCTGCTTACCACTTCTCATCACAATGTGCAAAAGAAGCAAACTGATCCGCACGCCGCTCCTACGATTTGTGTGCAAGTAAGTAAATTAATAAGATTTTATGTAAATTTAATTGTCATTATTAGCATTTCCCTGCAGTAATATGATGACATACGGTGACATAGTCTATGATATCACATGGCGTCAATCTTAATTCTGAAGTACGAGCTGAGGGGTAAAAATTTGAATTACTGTTGTTTCACGCAGACAAACTGGACGGTAAGTTGAGTTTCTGTAATAATTTTGTCATAAAAATGTACTGTGAAGTAACGTATGTACGCGACAGGACAGCAACACGGGTCCGTGGTGCAGCGAGTTGCTCGTGTGGCGCGTAGACGGCGTAGGGCCGTTATGTCGCAGCGGCGGCCTCTCTGAACTGGCTCGTCTCAACTCCCCTCACCCAACGGCGTTCTCCACTGCCGCTTGGATTCCTGCACTCATGCCTAGCTCGAGCCTGGGCAACCTCTGCAACTCCCCCTCAGCCTGCTTCGTGGCGAGCGATGGGCAGAGGCTGCGTGTGTACCAGACAGTGCTTGATGGCCGGGCGCTGCTCGCTGAGATGTGTGTTGCTGAACGCAGGAACCGTCGCGGGATGGAGGACAGCTTGCTCAGCATCAGCACTGATGACAGCTCACTCAGGGAGCATCCAGGTCATACGGTGAGTTACGTGTGTGGAATGCGTTCATTCTGCACGTGTTGATGTAAATGGAAAATGTTATCTATATGGTCTTGAAATTTCCCACTTATCGCCATGACCTATTATTTTACCTGGTCAAACCATGAGTTTAATGTGATGAGTGAACTCGCTTGTTTACCGAGAAAAGATTTATGATATTTACTTATGGTGAAATGTTTGAGAGACAGCGTTGCTAAATCTTTTAATATTTATTTGCTGTTCTTTCATGAGATTAGTCTGGAAAAATAAATTGTAGAATATTTGTCGAAGTTGGAATAAAAAGGGCAATATCCTAAATATATAATGAGTAATTGATTTGAGGTTGAAATAATAATTAACTGCTAAAAGAAGTGAGAGATCTCATGAAATTACTCATCAGGTTTGTCTAATATTAGTTCTACTTATCGTGTGCTATGTTACAGAACTTGGGCGAGGTGTTCACGATCGTGTCTGAGCAGTCGTCCGCTCGGCCCGGCTGCGTGCTGCAGCTATCTTCTCTGGATGAATCCGAGCCTGCAGATCCTGCAGGAAACACGACTCTTCTTCTGCACGTGTACCACCAAGGACTGGTTCTGGGACAACAAGCTGCTTCTTTGAGCAAAGACAAGAGCAGCAGCAGAGCCTCCATGGCCGAAGAACCATTCTACGTGACGCAGGTGCTAGAGACGTCGCGTGGAACAGAGGTGCAGATGTGGCGCTTGGTGTTGGTGACGCAACAGCCTGTGCACGACTTAACGTCTTCGCCTGATGGTACTGATGAAAACGACGATGTCTTCTCTCAGTCCAGGCAGGCTGAAGAACCCAAGTCGGAGGAGTTACCTTCTTCTCATCCTCATCTAACTGACGCTTCACCTGTCATCAGCAAAACCAGCAAAGTGTGCTGCCAAATTTTGCCGCTGCCCGCTGGTGTAACAGTGGTGCATGCAGCTCCTTCTGCTGGTCATCTGAGTTCTGCTTGCATTTATCCAGCCTGCCAGGCTCCGTTTTTGCTTGCAACAGCTTGTTCTGACAATAAACTCAGATTCTGGTGTTGCAACGTCACAGGCAGCGGGGAGGCAGGCACAGTCGAGTGGGTGGAGTGGACAATGATGAGCCGGTCTGGGGAGAGCGCCATTGATCTGCCTGGAGTGCCTCTGCATGTGAGCTGCGCGTACAGCGGCCGTGTAGCTGTAGCGTTCTTGCCTTTCGATCGCGACTCTGTTGTTACATCTGTTCCTTTCAACAATGCCAATGCTTCGAAATTCTCATGCAAAATTGCAGTGTATGAGTGTGAAAGCAACGGAGGTTCTGAGTGGGTCATGTGCGAGCCTGTCACTGTGGAGGACGTCGTGGCCATGGATGCGTGGCAGCTGGAGGAACAGCTTCTAGACCAAGCACATGTAACCAAGATAGCGCACTGCCGAAACACAACAACTAATCTTGTCTCTGCTCTGTCTTCTGACAACATTCAATCTGTAGGTCCGTTTAAAGGTTCACCAACCTCGCCCAAAGCTTTAGCCACCTCTATGCACATGCCAGTGGGTCCGACAACGTCCTTAGGTCCTCTGGATGGGGCCTCTACTGACGCCTTGCGGTTGGTATCGAACATGCTTCACGTGCCGTCCATGAGCACACTGCACTCCCTTCGCTCGCAGAAATACAGCAAACGCGGCGTAGAGGTGAAGCAGAGGGAGCCAGTGCAGGTGGACTGGGTGTCCAAGGAAGACGGTTCCTTCCTTCTCACTGTGGTCATCGGTAGTAAAATAATCGTACTGACAGACGTGAACGAGGAAATGGCCGCCGCCACGATGAAAACTGACACGATAACGGGCGTGGGTTGTACTGCTTCGCCCCGAGCTCCTGTGCTGAAGAAGTCTCTGTCTGTTCACCAGATAACTCTGCCCACTAAGCAGAAATATATGGAGCTCACGCGCGCGCATCTGCAAACTGCAGATAATCTTGCTCCTTTACCTATGAGCGTTGGGTGGACACGAGAAGGCTTACTGGTCGTGGGTATGGACAATGAGATGCACTGCTACACTCAGTGGACCAATCCCAGTAGCAATGGTAACAGTTTGTTGACTTCTCTTCAACCTAAAGCTGCTCTGCCAGCCCACTTGCAGCCTGCCTGTTCTCTTCTTTTCGACGAGAAAAAACGCGCAGGAGACGTACAATTCATCAGTCCTGAGCCATACACTGTTGGTATCATGGAGGCCAGTCAATTGATGTTCAATGTCCTGCCACTCTACCATCCTCGTCAATTACACGAACTTCTCAACAGCGGCAAGATCCGCCGAGTTAAAGCTATATTGGCTCACTTGCTTCGCTACCTTACGCAACTTAACGATGATCTCGGCGCCTTAGGTGGCTCCTGCTCTGTGGTTCCTAGTGATGCCAAGGCTTCGTGGTCTCGTTCGCGCACGCTGTCTGTGAACGCCCCGCACAGCAGCGGCAGCAGAGAGGGTCGTAGTTCAATTAGCCTGCGACCTGAAGATATCAACAACCTCAAGGAAGTGAAGACCGTTCCTCCAATGCCATTGTGGCAATTGCTAGAGGCAGACAAGGAAAGCACTGCTGTTGCTCTGCAGGAGAATCAGGAAGAGGCCTACGCCGAGCTATTCGGTGGGGCTCTTCCCACTGTCGATGACGATGATCTCAAGCTAGATGACGACGAAACCGACCGAGGTCTTCGCCGTACTTCTGTCTCCCATGAAAACCGTGGTCTCACGTATTTCGGTCCTCGGCAGACTCAATATTTGGCAGCGATGCTCACTCACACTCAGCTTCCTGGTCTTTCCTCGCTCGACCAAATGCACTTGCTAGCGCTATCTGACACCGTGGCTTCATGCAACGTTGACTTCGCCGACAAATTCGACATAAGTAAAGCCAAGGAAGCCATGGCCAAGGAAACATACTCTCGCGCAACCACTGATGAGCCCTCAATGGAGTCTCTTGATGATTGTGGGTTACGTTTTCTCTTGGCCTTACGTCACCACACTTACCTCTTACGTTGCCTCCCTGGCCAGCGATCTGCTCTACAGCGTTCCGGAATTGCTTGCCATAACATCGTCTGGGCGTTTCACTCAGAAAGTCAAGAGGAACTTCTGCAGTTTTTGCCTTCATGTCGTCAAAACAATCCAAAATGGAGTGAACTACGAGAGCTTGGAGTAGGCTGGTGGGTGCGCAACAACACGGTTCTACAGAAACTAATTTTGATGGTTGCAAAAAGTGCTTTCCAGCAACGCAAGGATCCTCTCGACGCTGCCATATATTATCTTGCGATGAAGAAGAAGTCTCTTGTCTGGGGTCTTTTCAGGTCCATTGACGACAAACGCATGACGGAGTTCTTTGCCAGTGACTTTACTCAGGAACGGTGGCGTCTTGCTGCCCTCAAGAACGCCTACGCACTTATGGGCAAGCAGAGGTTCGAACATGCAGCTGCGTTCTTCTTGCTCGCAGGAGCCTTGAAGGACGCAATTGAAGTGGTAGTGGCGCAGCTGCAAGACGAGCAGCTTGCTATGGTCATCATCAGGCTGTATGAGGGAGAACTTGAAGCCATGCCGCCTGCTCTTGAAAAGATGCTCTACACCCGCGTGCTGGGATGCGATGAAGATGGCACTAATGAACAAGTGACTCATCTCCACCCTGATCCCTTCTTGCGCTCCATGGCTTACTGGCTTATGAGGAACTACACGGCATCTCTACAAACGCTCCTCAACACTGACCCAACCTTGGCAATCTGTCATGACAGCTATGACGAGAGTAAAGCCAAGGCTTCTACCAGGCTCAGCAGTAACATCTCCACTGCTGATCCCACTGTTTTCAACTTCTATATATACTTGCGCACGCACCCTCTTCTCATTCGTCAATGTATTGCCAACACCGCCAAGTAAGTATGGATCAAAACGATACCGTGGAATTGACTAGGTATCAATTGAGGTATTTTTCTAGGTTAATAGGTTATAAATATTTTACTTCGTTACGAGCCCCAGAGGCTCTCATGTAAGAAAATATTTTGTACACTGTAATTTAAAACAAATTAAAGAGAATTCGGAATGGAAAGAGGTCATAATTATGTCTGTTATACTAGATATAAGATGTGTTCTAACAAAGTAAATAAAAATGATCAATTCTTGAGAAATATTTGATGCAAAATGTCGTGCTCCTAAATTTTATTTCTCTTCTCTAAATTTATTTCTTCTATTTATTTCTCCTGGTCTTACATCAATTGTTGTATTGTTTGTTCAGAGACACGGGAGGGGGTATGATGGCGAGCTGTCTGACCGTTGGTGCCGACCACCTCGACAAGAAGAGTTCTTACGAGAGCAGCATAACACTGCAAGAGCGCTGTCTCTACTTCACTACTGCGTACGCGCACCTGCAAGCTGGCTGCCCCGTCGTGGCTCTTGAGGTTCTGTCCAAGTTGCCGGCCACGGTGCAGCAGAGTGCCCCAGATGGCGGCGACACCACAAGCCTCCATGTGTCTGAGACGGCTTCCCAAAATCGGCCTTCGCTGGGCATGATCAACACAGGTACCCTCGATGGAGGGCTCGAGACCGCTGGTGCGTTCGATTGGAGCAGCGGCGGTGGAGGCTTTAAAGACACAAGCGATGAACTGCAACTCGACTTCTCCTTGGATGTTGACGATGACGAGGTGGAAAACGAGCCTTCTGCACCAAAACAGGAGATGGACCCAGGGTTTAAAGTCAACGAAACGAGAGAAAGCACGTCAGTTAGTTCGATCCCACCTCGTAAGACTTTTGATGTGATGGCTCAGCAACTCAAGTTCATCGCGTGCCTGAAGATCATGATGAGCGAGCTGGGAACTTTAGGGAGTTCTTTCTTCAGTTCTACGAGTTCCAACGATGGCATCACCGGTGATTTCGGAGGTCAGCTTCGTCACGACCTTCACCTGTGGCTAGAACACGAGGTCGCTGCGCTCAAGGAGCTCAGCGGTTACTCTCCTGTTCTGCCTGAAAGTGACATCCTCGTGAGCAGCTTTACGGCTCCCTCTGATCCCAATGCGACATTAGGACTTTCAGGAGAAGATCAGGCATCGACCAGCCTCCATGATATCCTGCAACGAGAAAAATTGCAATTTGAAAATAAGCTCGCACGAGCTGCTCGTAGGAAACGGTGGCTCGCTGCTAATCAACAGTTACTGCACACTCTGCTCGCATACTGCTCGCTACATGGCTGCAGTGGTGGTGGCCTCACGATGGTTCGGCTAGAGCTGCTGTTGCTGCTGCAGGAGTTACAACAAGACTCGGCTGGACGAAATATGCTGTTGTCACCACTGCCATGCCCTACAACTCTCCCTCTACTCTCAGCTGTTGTTGCTAGCAATAAAACCGTCGTTGCAGATCCTGTGAAGCAACTTCAGAACCTTGGAGAAGACCTGCTCGCAAATGTAGCGAGCGTTCGCGCGATAGGCAAGCACGTAGGCATGCCTCAGATGTTGGGAAAAGTCGCCGTTTGGAGGGATCTTGCAATTGCTTTGTCATCGTCGCTTCATCAAGCGCTCTCTGATTCTGAGCCCAGTCGTAGTTGGATTGCTCGGCCAGGCGAGAGCGGCAGTGCTGACGAACCTTTGGAGGTCACTACTCAGCCTGGAAAATGGCCTGGTGTCACTTCCCTCCTATGTTTGATGACTAGGGAGAAAGACGAAGAAACTCCCAAGCTGAGTCTACTTTTGTGCGAGGCTCTCGTCGGAGTGTATATTTGCCTGTTGGCTTATGGTCTGGTGACGTGCGATGCTGCGATTCTGTACAGACTTGTCTCTCGGAAATTCTCCAACAGGGAATGGGCTCAAATTTTTGGCGGTGGAGCTAAACGTCCCGTCAAGATGAGTGCCGCCATACCGCCAAGTGTGTTGGCAGGCGGTGGTGTTGAGGCGGTGAGTCCTTCTTCTTCTCCTGCCGGTAGTGACCAGTTCCTTACGTCGACGCTCTCAAGCCTGCAAAAGACTCGACTTAAGTTCAATATGAAGCTACTGGGACAACTTGGTTTCCAGGAAGTTCGCTCACAAACTCAAGATGGAGAATCGAAACCCGCTTTTAGGGAACAGTTCGTCAGTCCCAGCACTTCAATTGTGTCCTTCCTGATGACCAAACCGGTGCTTCCTTCTGAAGACGAGAACATCGACTATGATTCAGCGGGCAGTGATGAAGAGGAACTTTATGAGGAAGAAGAGGAAGAAGACGATGTATTCAAGGAACCCAAGATATTAGCTGAGAACAAAGAGCATAGCGACCATCGGTCGTATTCTTGGTGTCTTCTGCGTCTCGCCTGCGTGAAGCGAGCTGAAGCCATTATCAAGAATTTCTTCTCTGTTCCACAAATTGATTTTCCGGGTAGGTGGATAATGAAATATAATTCTTCTATTTTACTCCACTATAACTCGTAAAATCTAGTCAATTGTACAATATTTAATTTGATACAACTTCACTGTGGCTAAATTCATTCTTTATTTATTTTTTCGATCGATCGGCACACAACGATGTCAGATTACACGATGTCGCATTATTCAAGTACTTCGGCAAATCTACTAACAAGCTCAACAAAAGCTGTATTAAATGACTAACCATTGTGAGTTGACTATATTTAAATATTTATTTTACACGTCACACGTGTCTCATTGCAAGTGCGCTATTTTGCGGATGTGCAGTTGCGTGACTTTCATAGATTTATTTATTTTCAAGTAGCCATTTTGTCAGTGAAATTTTTTGTTTCCTTTCCACTCTCCGACTGCGATGTTGACTCAAGTACTTGAGCATTGCATGATCTCTACTAAACCGCCTATACGGAGCAAATTTTGTTTCGAATAATTAATAAACTTGTCTTGTGATTCACACTCCTCCTATGGAAAGCTATCCTGTTGCTGCATGCACTCATGCCTTTCTTGCACTCATGCCTTTCTTTCACTCATGACTCGCTTTCACTCATGCCTCACATTCACTCATGCCTCGCATTCACTCAATATCTCACATTCACTCATGCCTCACATTCACTCATGCCTCACATTCACTAATGCCTCACATTCATTTTCCACCATGCTGCACAGAGCTGGCAGTGCAGTCTCCTCTTCTGCACGGTGTGCTGTACACGCTGCACTCCTGGACCAAGGATCTGACCGCTGAGCTGGAGGAGCTACAAGGACCTCCTCCTGAGTACATCCCGGGCTGTTTTGCCCAGAGCGTCCAGCCTGGTGCCCCCGCCATCAGTAAATATCGCGGCCTCAGGGAGACCCATAACACGCCCTTCGCGTGAGTAATACATTCAGTTACGACGAGGACATTTGTCACCAATGTTCTGTCAAGTAAATGACTATTATTATAATTTTAGTTTAACACGAGGACATTTGTCATCAATGTTCTGTCAACTAAATTAATATTATTATAATTTCAGTTCCGACGAGGGCATTTCTCACCAATGTTCTGTCAAGTAAATGACTATTATTATAATTCCTTCCGTTTATTCGACATTCGGCTAATCTATTCTGAGTAACGCGCTGTCCTGACATTAATTGCTGCCTGTTATCCCTGAATCATTGTTGCATTACCTAGTACCTACTCAAGTTCTTCTGGATGCTCACAGTTGCGAAAGTTTTTCCCAAACGTCTTAGATGACATATTTTAGCATCAAAAATTTGAGTCTTAGAAGCTCGATGAGTCTAAAATATAATTGAAGACGTTGCATCATAACCTCAATAGCAGAACTCCCTTGAGCCTTTCTCCATCTTGATTGCCACCTATTTTAGGTTTAGAATACCCAGTAAAGTTTGTTGGTGGCGCAGGCGTGGCCAGAAGGGCGTGTCGGTGGTGGTGCGTCTGTGGCAGTTCCTGGTGAGGCAGGATGACGTCATCGAGGTCTTCGTGCGCTACATCTTCGCCAGGAAGCGGCCGGTCCCTGAACCCGTGCCCCAGCACTCCTATGCCGCCTCAGGTCAGTCTCGCTTCTCTTCTTTTTAGCGCATTTTCTCAGTTATGGAAAAAATATAACTCAGTACTCACCGCAGTGAGTGACAGAGAGCGCATTTTCTCGTCGACGAAAACATGAAGTCACGGGCGGACAGATGGACAGACGGACATGGCGAGCACAATAGTGAATTTTTTTCATAAATGAGAAAATGCGCTGAAAAGGCGCTATTGTGCTCGTCATGTCCGTCTGTCCGTCTGTTTGTCCGTCCATGACTTCACGTTTCCGTCGACGAGAAAATGCGCTCTCTGTCACTCACTGCAGTGAGTACTGAGTTATATATTTTTTTTAAGTTATTTAGTTTTTTTCTCTTTAATTTTAATCGGGTTGTATGTTCTGCAACTATTGCTTTAGAAAATTCCCACTTATCTAGTTTTATTTCCTATCACTGAGATGAAAGTAATCCGTCGACCGATAATTATAAGCATGAAAATATCGTTCCTGCCGAGGTTTGAAAATATATTAATCCGCCGTGAATCAATTATTTTGGTTCACCACGCCCCAATTGTTAGTAGCGATCGCTTGTTGGTTGTTTAAACGAGTTGACGTAGGTTTATTGTCACAGAGGAAGCGCTGAGTGACTCCGGCGATGGAGCCGGTGGCGGCACAGATGAGGGATCAGAGGCTGGTGGCGGCGGCGGCGGCAGCGGTGGTGGAGGAGGAGCTGCAGGTGTAGGAGATCATTCCGAGGTGGAAGTGCCCACTCCTGCAAGTCTGCCAGCATTAGACCCTGTACGCATCATCCACAAAGAACAAGACAACATCGCTGCGTTCTGCATCAATCGGGTGAGCAATAATCGTCTTGCCGTGACGAATCAAACATTTTAATCCAATTAAATCGGCAATTGAATAGCATACGGAGTGACATGTCTCGCCTTTTCTGTAATAGATAATCTAATTATCTTGTATTTGCTGGGATATTCCTCAGCGCTGGTTAACGCTACCGCCGTGTATTACATATTTTAATTGATTAATTTTGAATAGTCAGGACAAAATTGCATGTTACTTGTAGTTGTTGACGAAAATAAAACTGGATGATATTTTTATTACAGCTTGTATTAGGAAGATCATTGACAAGGTTTTTGATACACGAACGAGTTATGTATACTATCGCAACCAAATCATTGATTTCATGGTGAATAAAAAATATTTAAAGGGTTCAGAAAATGAATACAAATAATACTAAACGGCCGTGTATTGTGACGCTGAATTCTAAATAGTTTGTATTTAATTGAGCGGAATCATGGGGCACTCTTTTGTTCTCAATCTTAGGTTGGCTGCAAACAAAATTTGTGTTGTACATGATTGAGCTAGAACTGTGTTACCGTCATGAGTTGGGGTAGTTTTTGTGCAAACGTGGGTATTAGTTCCCAAGTACATTATGTATTGCTTTTGCGCATTACATGTGTTGTTTTTCTGTAGCATGTCTCTGTGATCGTACAGCTCATGAGCTTGTGCCACTGTGGCATGTCTCTGTGATGGTACAGCTCATGAGTTGGTGTTGCTGTGGCATGTCTCTGTGATGCCAAAGCTCACGACATTTATGTCGCAGGTCAACAGCGGGCTGATGAGTATTGCGACAGTGAAGGAGGTGCAGGAGCTGGACATCTCGCTGCTGCTGCAACATCCTAACTGGCTCTGCAACACTACCGAGCTCGACCTCCTCGCTCCTACTAAGTCAGACCTTCGTTCCTTTTGTAAAATTTAAATACTCTATTTTTATTAAACTCGACATTTTACTTTACTTCGATCCTAATGTTGAAAGTTTTTTCGATGTTAGGGAAGGGTTGAACAAACACGCAGGCTAAGTCATAACGTCATTTTTTTCAATAAATTTTGTCCATTTATCAATATTATACTCGTGTCTATATTAATTTCAAGAAATTTTGTCATTTCTTTTACAATTTGAAGATATGAAGATATAAGAATCCTTAGGTGTACAGATAGTATTTAACTTTTGATGTATGTTTGAATACTATTAATCAGGAAGTAAGGCTGTGAAATAAATCATAAACTTCTCTGAATTTTCATCTTTGTTACTCGTGCCATGAGTGTGAAAGCTGTCGCCTGGGCCCATAATGGCAGCAAGAGATTTTTTAGAGACCAGTTAATTTACAATTTTTTTATATAGGTACTTCAAGATTATATTCAGTATCTAATGTATAATGATGCTGGCTATCTATGATATTTTGCTGGTCTACTTTTAGGACAAAAAAATATATATACTATATAACTCAGTACTCACTGCAGTGTGTGACTGAGAGCGCATTTTCTCGTCGACGCAAATATGAAGTCACGGACAGACTGACGGACGGATGGACGGACATGACGAGCACAATGGCGCTTTTTTCCATAACTGAGAAAATGCGCTAAAAATAAAGTCACCAAAAATCTGATATTTTCCGCAGGGAGGGCGAGACTGTGAACGCCTCCAACTACCTGGTGGTGCAATGCCCTGCTGATAAAGACATCCTTGACGGCACCAAAGGTTTGCTTTTGTACTGGCTAGGATTGTCTGGCTCGCTGTGCATTTTTAATATACTGCATTTATTTTTGCTATTTTTAAGGGACTTTATTGCCTAAAAATTTTGATGAATTACCCTTTGTGTGCCCGACTTGTTGTCATCAAGGGAACTAATGACTACGTAGCGTCTAGAAGGCTGAAACGTAAACTTGTTTTTAAATTAAAGTTTTTTATATTTTAATTACATGGTCCTTCTGTTTACTCATGCGCTTCGTCTGTCGGGGATTAAATCAAGTTGTAGGTATTTATTTCTGCATGTTCCTGAGTCTCGCATACTCGCTCATGCGGCTAATTCGGACTTGTTTTGCTTTTGTGTTCATTTTTGATTTGTGATGCAATCATTTGCCTACTGGCCGATTCAGAGTTTGTTCTCGTTTAAAACAGTACTATAATTAAGCTGGTTGATCATTGTTAAACTTGGGGTTTTCTGTCAATTTCCTGCTTTTGGTTTTTTTCAATTTCTTGAATTAGTTTTACCTACACATTAGTTAATGTGATGTCAAAAATATCTTCACTGAACTCCGCTTAAATTTTTTGTCACTTCATTTTTTAATGTTTTACTGTTTCAAAATTATTTTCAGCGTCATTCACTGTGTTTTCAGGAAGATTTAATAATCAAATTAAGAGATAATCGCTTGAAATTAACCATGATATCAGCAAATTATTTCGTCGAGATGTTATTGTTTGATAAGACTTCTGTTCAGATGGTGGAGCTACAGCAATGGTCGGGTCGTCTTCCAGCCTCAACGCTCAGACCGGCCGTGGCGCCTCCGTCGTGAGTGCCAGAGACATACTAGAACTTGATGCATTACGGGCACTTGATTCATTACGGGCACTTGATTCGTTACAGATGATTTACGGATAGAGATGGTGTTTACAGACGAGTCGGAATGACCGAGACTAATTTTGGAGTACAAATGCTCATGTGTCTACCAGCGATAAAAGATTTACGGATGATTTACATGTCAATCAGCCAGATAGACGGATGATTTACATGGCAATCAGCGAGATTTACGGATGATTTACTTGTCAATCAGCAAGATCTACGGATGATTTGCTTGTCAATCAGCAAGATCTACGGATGATTTACATGTCAATCAGCAAGATTTACGGATGATTTACATGTCAATCTTCATTGATCCGTATTGATCCTCGTGCAGTTGCATGTTGAATATTATGTTGATAACTTATATGGGTCCGTGGTCGTGTAACTGAGCTGGGTAGCCTTGCTATCCATGAATGTTCCTCATGCATACATGGAATGTTTCTCATACATTACGTCAGGCTATAAATTGCTGAATCTAACCTGTATAAATAATTTATTATAGAATATCTTACCCTATTAAGAATCATCTTCTTTCCGTAGAAAATTAGGTTTTATCCAAGTTGGTTTCTAGTCCTGTTAAGTATTTATCTTCTCTTGAAGGGACTAAAGATTTTCTCTAACTACTGCTTGTGTCAGCAATTAACTGACGGTTGAGTATGAGTTGTTGTGGTACGAGTTTTGGTGTGAAATAACGTCGATAAAATCTGTATTGGATTAATGTCATCATGTGTACACCCTGATCCTTATTAACACTTTTGTTAATGTATTATCCTAATATTATCCTATATTAACACCTTGATCCTTATTAACACTTTTGCATGTATCTCTTCATATTCCAAATCGATGAATTGCTACCGTTATCGCAATCCTGCTCCACCTACTCTAATTTAAAATATTTAACATGTTTTACACTGGATTCCTAAACACTCAACGTGAATTAATAACCATAAAGAGACATGATTTTTCAGCGGGAAACATACTCTCTGTACAACCTGACTCGTCTTGTGTAGACAACGTGCGATAACACCTCGTTTGACTCGTCCTCGTGTTATGTGACATACGATTAACCTTCTTTTGACGCTTCAAAAGTTATTTTTCATGTTCTTTCATTTCACTAATATCTGCATGTTCTTTGCGATGATGTGATTTTTATTGATTTTTAAAATATGAATCCGTATTTCGATTAGCTTTAATTTTCTGCCTGAAATATTTGTAATGCTACCTCACTTGCGCGCCGGCCTCACCATGTACATTACAAAGCACATCTTGCTTTCGTTCCTAAAGTTTTTGTAATAGTTCTGAGACAACTATCCTCCTTTCTTGTCAAGTGGAGTTTTTTATTTCTTTTTTTCAGTGTGATATATTCACTTTTTATTTTTTGCACTGTCCTGTTATCACTACTTCTACCATCATTAAATCTCCCTGTATATACTCGCTTCCTCTTCATCAATAGCATCCTTCTCTATTACTCATACCCATTACAATCACTCGGCTTTTCTTCCCATTTCAATGCTGCTCTCAAGTTTCGGGAATTAAAAGGAGTCCATTTCACTGGCTCGAACAATCCTCGGTTCTGTCAGCTCGTCATAGAGCGCAGCCGACACCACCTCAGGCCGGTGAGATCGCCAAACATTTTACTTGCTTTCCGAACTCCCATACGCGGCACTCATGTACTACGTTAATGATCACAAAACCCACGTATACTGCGGATTATGCTTACGTGGATACTGTAAGTGGCCAACGCTGCTCGTCTGCACTGAAGAACTGGCATGCCAATGAATAAATGGCGTCGTCACTTTCTTAACTGTTTTGGAGCCTTTCGCAGTATCTATGAGCGCATTGCCTCTATATTCTATGTGAATCTTCATATTTATTACCCCTCTACCGCCTGACATGAGTAACCGAAGCAATATTGTCACAATACTTCCCAAAAACGATACGTTATTGTGAGCGCAAAATGACTTGCACTTATGGTTGCCGCGACGTACAGTACTACAACTTTAAAATGTTCTCTGTTGCATACAAACGTCCTCAGATTGCTACACTTAATGGTTTACGTATAATTCAAGTTGAAAGTTATGATCCCGGAGAGTGACATATACGGCGGTTGAGGGTTAAATTACTTGCGGGGCAGGCGCGATGCATCAGTTCAAAATACTTGTCTGATTTTTTTTGTTTTGAACGCAAATTCTTAAAAATGTAGAAATTAGTTATAAACAAGATATGTTAAAATTTACCTTTTAATTTACTGTATTTGCTTCTAATTTGGTCGTGAAGGCTATATTGAAGAAGCTCACTCATGTTCACATTTATACTATGCACTCGAGTGACCAGGGGCTCTCGTATTTTCTTCTTTAAGCGTAATTGGTGCTCCGATAATAAATTTATGTCAAGAATTGTTCTTTGCTAGCATCGCAACATTATTGTGGATAGTAAACAATTCATAACCCACTTAATCTAACCTATTACTATCAAAATAGTCACAAGTTCGTAACTAAGTTGGCTAATCACAATGAAGCCAAAATCACAAATCATAGAGGTGAATTCAGTCGCTAAATACCGGTATGCTTGGATCGTTTTGTCTACTTAAGCGAGTTTCGATAATTCAGTCCCGGATTTTATCTCGCTGCTGCGATGGTGCAGCAGGCTAGAGTTCCAAAAAATTTTTATCCATAATTTTTCATCGTACTTCTGGTACCTACTCCCCCTTTTGAGCTTGGTAGGATTTAGCCAAGTTCTTAAAAAGATTTGAACCGTAATAATAGTGTTGAAAACTTGAGTTTACACATATACTCATTTGCAGATCCGCAGCCACAAGACGGAAGGCGCGCGCCGCATGACCGCGCATCCCGTTCTGCCAGTCTGTGAGTCCTGGGCTTACTTCTCTTCATTTGTACTTTTACTCCAAGTTATCTAAGTTAACTTGGTAATTAACGTTACTTAGTTAATGATGATGTTTGCAAACGAGTCGAACGATAAGAGTTTAGTTGGAGGAACAATGAGGTTTACAAGTGAGTTGAAAGATAAAAGTGTAGTTGGAGGAATTCCGTGAATTGTACAATAGCCAGAATATTTTTAAAGAATTAGTTTAGTGATAAAATACTGAAATTAATTGTAATTGAAACGGGATGATAATCTTATGAATAAATGTATAGTTTGATAGTGTGTCAGGTCAGATTTTGAGTAAAAATACAGCATTTTTGCTTGATAGCTCTTACCTATTCAAAGGAATAATTTTTAGAAGTTAAACGGTTTGCATTGATCGAAAATGATGAAAATTCTTGAATTAAAATTATTCTATAACAATGTTCTATTTTATTAAGTTAGGGATTAATTTTTCGCTGCTGAAATTAATCGGGTACTTGCGTGAGATATGAAGTTATTCTGGGACTAATTTACCATATGGCCCAGTGGTTAAAGTTCAGAGTACCAAGATTGGCGCAGGGAGGCGCGGGTTTGATCCCAGCTCTGGGCGCCAGTTTCTGGTCAGAAACGGCAAGAAGGCCGGGCGGTTAGGCACAGCAGAATTGTAGCAGTGAGTTGCGAGTTCAAGCCCGCAACAAGCTGTGGATGTTCTGTGATGTTGAGAATCGGCGACAGGCCTACGGCCTACTAAACGCTGAAACCGCTATTATTATTATGACCTGTGTACGTGCAGATCTGGTGGGTTGTCAGGACGGGTCGGTGACAGTGCGGGAGTGGCAGCACACAGGAGTGGTGGCCCGGCCCCGCCCTGGGGGCACCTTCGCTAAGGTCACCAGGCTGCACTTCAACCAACAGGTTTGTGCTATCATTATTTTGTACTGATTAGCTGCACTATTATTATTTTGTACTGAATAGCTGCACTATAATTATCTTGTACTGTTTAGCTGCACTATTATTATTTTGTACTGATTAGCACTGTTAAAATAAGTTTCGATCTTTTGATCACTTCGTCTGCTGTCTATAAAACAAGAGATCGCAGGGCGTATAACATTATTTTGCACTAGTCACGAACCTACTTGTATAAGATCGTAATATTATTCGTTATGCTTCTCGAGGACTGTCTTTACGTAGTGATGTACAGTGTACACTGTCATGGGAGCCAATAATTCTAACGCTCAGTCGCTTTTACTCGGATGTGCGAACTGGAAATTAGATATCGGGTTATTTTTTCTGTGTAATTAGAGTTTTCTTGTTTCTATTTTTACTGCTTAGAAATTCGTATTGTGCGTTGTTCCAAGCAACACCAAAATTACATATTTTTTTACTTGCTGCCACCCAAGCAAGTGAACAACAACAAGCCAAATTGAATAGAATATTAATTGTTCAAATTTGCAGGGAAACAAGTTTGGTGTGATGGACTCGGATGGCAACCTCTCCTTGTATCACCTGGGTCTGGGAACTCAAGTGACCAAGCCCTTCTACGTGAGTTTGTTATAAGAACTCGTGTCGCAGTTGCACGCATTCTGAGCCTTAGACCACAGCTGCAGGGCCCAGAATGGCCCTTATTTTGCATTGTTTTTAACAATGCAAAATAGTCGCAGTTACTAATTTGTTTATATAAATATTGATGTAAGGACGTTCGTAAACGTCACCGTATTCTTAAATTTGGGTCATGTATGCTAAACCAGTTATATGACTGCGAGTTTAATGCACAACTGTGGGTAAATATGGGTAAAGTAACACGGGTAAATTCGAACTAAATATTTCCAATAATACAAACGAGACGACGCTTGTGCTCAGAGTCACCAGTGCCACAACAAGCACGGCAGCGACTTTGCGTTTGTGGGCTCCTCGAGTTTGCTGGCGACGAGCGGCCAGTCGTCCGACCACCGCAACGTCGCGCTCTGGGACACTCTCATGCCGCCGCGCAAGGCCAATGTCGTTTGTGAGTCTTAATTCATTTAGACTTTATTCATCAACTAGTATTGTGTTTGATAACGATACGTTTATTTTATTTCAAAGTTTTAACTTGAATTAACTGCAAGGGGAGACTTTCCCCGAACTCACAGTTTTAATTACATGAATGGTTGATTCACAGACTAAGATCGTAAAACTGGATACGAATGTAAGTATGGAATATCAGAACAAATTAGTAAACTTAAAAGAGTAGTGGTATCTTTTAGTTATTTTTTTCTTGACGTTAAGTATAGTTTAGGTCGTACGATACAAATTGCTTTGGCAACTTTTAACATTTCACTTGACTAAAAATTACATTACTTCTGTTTGTGGTAAAAATCATCCTTCTCGTGCTACAATGCAAAATGTACTGGGATCACACATTTATCGGAAAGTGGTTCTATGAAGTATTAAATAGTTCACGATTAAATAACTGTTATTTGCTTTCTCTGATTACTGACTTGTTGCTGCTGGCGATAGCGTGGCTGTGTCTTTATAAAAAGTCCTTCTGTGCGGTAATAAATAGTTCACTATAAACTAACAGTTATTTGCCATCTCTGATAACTGACTGTTGTTGCTGACGATAGCGTGGCTGTGTCACGAGAGCGGCACGGCAGCGATGCTCTACGCTCCCCAGAACCAGATCTTGCTCAGTGCCGGCAAGAAGGGCACGGTGTGTATCTTCGATGTTCGACAGAGGACGCTCAGGCACAGGTTCCAGGTTGGTTCTTTGCCTAGAACCTAGAAGGAAAATTCATGCACTATATATTTTATTTGCTGACCTCACTCCTTCAGTTTAGGAGAAGATTTTGTCTGACATGTATTGGGACGACACGCGTGTACGTTTTCTCAGCAATGTTCTGTGCGCACTCTTTCTCCAATTTCAAATGAATTAAAATTACATAGTATTTGGCTTAATCTGAAACTCCATTTTTGTATTTTTACCCCATAGACGTCACAAAAAAATGCAATCAAGCTTCTATCTAGCATTTCATATACCTCATTACTTCCTCACTTAGCCACTTCCCCGTAGTTTCTGTTATTTCCAGCGCATCACAATAAGTGCTGCTGAGTCACCAAGAGCTAAAATATCCCTAATTTAATGATAATATCACTCGATTATCTCAGGCCCACGAGAGCGCCATCAAGTGCTTGGCTCTTGACCCCAGCGAAGAGTTCTTCGTGTCGGGTGCTGCAGATGGCGACATCAAGGTAAGTCGTGGGGCTACAGAAACAGAATTTTCTTATCAGCTAAGTTTACTTGCTGTTAGCAGCTAAGTTTACTTGCTGTTAGCAGCTAAGTTTACTTGCTGTTAGCAGCTAAGTTTACTTGCTGTTAGCAGCTAAGTTTACTTGCTGTTAGCAGCTAAGTTTTACTTGCTGTTGCAGATAAGTTTACTTGCTGTTTGCAGATAAGTTTTTTTGTTGTTTGTAGATAAGTTTACTTGCTGTTGCAGATAAGTTTACTTGCTATTTGAAGCTAAGTTTACTTGCTGTCCCTAAGATTTCTTGCTACCAACTTTTACTCTTCACAATGTCGTAGTTCCTATGCAGCAAAAGTCTCGTACTTAGGCATTGAAGGTTTATGTATAGTTTGTCATTAGATGTGCATTGTATGAAAACTGTCCAATTGAATTATCTTTCTCTACTTGCAAGCAGAGTGTAATAAAATCGAAATCGATCGGGAGAATAGAGTAGTGAAATATATCCCCATAAAAATGAATAATTATTTTTTTTAACCGACTCTATTTTTGAGCATCAGAAAACTATGGACGGACTTCATCAAACTGAATTTACCCGCAGGTGTGGGGCCTCACTGTGCACAACTTGATCTATAACCTGCCTGGCGAACACTCACGCACGTCCCTCTTCAAGAACCTGAGTCAAGGCGTGACTCAGCTGCACCTTGACGCTCACAACAGGCTCTTCTCTTGCGGTGGCGACGGCTCTATTAAACTCCGGACATTTCCTGAGCGAGACCTTAATCTGAACCTGCTTTAATTCTCGTTGTAACTCTGAACAAAACATAGTTTGATCATTTTAGGCATGATGGTTAGTTTGAGTAGACATGGATGTTGTTATAACAATTGCATTGATATTGTTTACGAGGCTTCTACCACTGGACTTTAAACTGCTGATTCCTCCCGAAAATTGTGATTCGCGCAGGTCACGTGGTGTCCCTGCAAATAATATTCACATTCTTGTCACTCGACATTGCGTTGCTGTTAAGGCCCTTTTCCACTACGGGACTGATTCTGAAGGATTAAGACTAGCCTGAGACCAATAAGCCTCAGGGCTGGGCCTCAAAACTGGCGTGCGCATATGCTGGGATCGAGACTTAATTCCATCTGGGCTACCGCTCTACCGCGCGCGACATTTCATTGCGTATATTGGAGCGACAGCAACGCACAACCTGCTGGGACGGAAGTCACAGCGACACTCTCGCAAAGAGCGGCTCACTCTGTAGTCAAAGATTGTACAGCGCTTCATTCGCCGATGAGCCCGTCTCGATGGGCCGGACTGCCTCAGTCTAGCCTGGAAAAGACAGTTTTTCAGGTGTCAGTCTAGCAGAGTCTCATAGTGGAAAAGGGCCTTTAGATTTGGTCAGCGCAGGATTGGTCCATTTCTGAGCCGACGGACGACAATTGAGTGTGTTTCAATTGTTCATCGGTTCATTCTTTGATCTGTGCTTTTTTCTTCGCATGAACCATCAATAGTCAAGTATGTATGTATTTATTTGTTTTGTTGTCAGATGGTTTATCGTTGTTTATTCATAATGAAATGTTGTTTTTAGTTATTTTCTGCGTGTCTATATTTTCTTTTGAAAAATATAGATAAAGTTTTCCTTGCTTGCGCGGCACATATTTGCGGCAAAGCTCTTCCTCGTTCACGGTTCTACCGGAGTGGCTTGCTTCTCTTGTTGCTGAAGCATAATGAGATAGAGATAAATCTCGTATAATTTTATTCAACTCTTGAATTTATATTGCTAGATATCTAGTCATTAATGTTGGATAATTATCACTTATATTAATGCTCACCGACTTTAACTTAACTCGTTGAAAAAATAACAGATATCTAATCAAAACGTGCGCTCAGACTACGGCAGAATGGAAGTCTTGAAGTACGGTATTGTTCTTGATGTGAACTGCCACTCTAAGTTGCTATTTTACTTGCTTGTCTTCTACGAGGTTTTATTGCAGCCTGTCCAGCGATTTGATGAAATTGATATAGTCATCTCGGTTATTCTGTAACCAGTAGAGCGCGATATAAATTTTTATTTATTGAAGAAAGTGTAAATGATTTCTTGCTCCTGTGAAAATTGCAACTTTACGAGTTCCATGTGCCCTCAACTTTCTCTAGTTAGTTTTTCATAGTTTAAAATTAAATGAACTTATGGTCAGTAGATAGTTGGTGTGAAAGTGTTATGTCATTCACAGCCGTTGTTTACGTACTGTTTCCGTGGTAGTGAGGCGTTATCGAGATTCTTGAAAGCTGTTCGAATGATATTTTTGACCGTCTACATTCCATTTTCTGATTCTCGTACACATATACAATCTCCACAGTTTGTTGATTAGTAATCCTGTAAGAATAAAACGTGAGAATTAAGTTATCATGTCAATTTCTTTTTCATCCAAGCTTATCACGTGCTAATGGTTGAATGCATCGTATCTTTATTCATTTATCAACCGGCTCACATCGCACCGTGTTTCCTTCTTCCAAAACAACATCTCTGCACAAGCTTACCAGTTTCACTAATAAAAGTATTATTGCAGATATGAATAATCCGGTGCCAGTTGCTATCGTTTTATTCTGTGACGTGTGGACTGAATGAGCTGAGTTTCTGGTCATGCAGTTGTCTGAAGATTAATTATTTCTTCATAGATGTCTGTAGTTGTGTAGAGTTGATAGCCATCTCTGATGAGCATTTAGTGAGTGTTGTTAAACTGTTCTTGTTTGCTTTACTCGTAATCCCTTTAAAATATTAATTCATCCCACAAATAATTCAGGAAATATACGTTACAAACCAATCACATTTCATTTTCCTTTTATCTCATTTACCACATTAATTGGCAGCATACTGATAACGACATGCTACCTTACCGGCAAATTTACATTGAGCCGTTGATGTAGGCCTTATGCATGTGACATTTCCGAACCTGATAGCATGTACACACCTGCCATTCAGCCTATTTTCATGTAATTTCTGTGGTCAGATACTCTGAAGTTGAATAATAAATTCCTATAAAGGAATTCAGGCGAATCACCGTATACATTCAGTGAACAAACTGAGGGAATAGCCTAAGTTCTTCGAGATGGAAATCCGGTCCATTCCAAAAACATTCTGATTGCTCTTCTTTACATGAAAAAACTCTAGTCTCATTATCATGTCAACTCGGCAAATCGTTCTGATTGCTACTAATCCTCATCCAAAGTTTTAACTATTCTTGAAACTAATAAGACGTTTCTCGAAGTTTACATTTCCTTTCGCTAGTTAGACTCATGATGAAAAAATGTGTCCCCTCTTCTTATTATTGCCTTCTACCTCATTTTGGATCGCGATTCAATCCAACCCCGCTCTTCTCCGCGTAATTCATGCATAATTAAGTCGACTTCAGTAATGAGAAGGAATATTAGGCTGCGACCGTTGGACCATAACATAATTATTACGAGCAGCGACATCCCAGCGAGCAAAACTTCACCTTATCAAATGAGGCATGAATTGCAGACCGTCAACGGCCCGATGTCTTTACATGCACTCCAGGATTAACTTGGTTCGGCAGAAGCTGTGGAGGAAAACTCGAGTAGGTTTAGAGAGACAATATAGTCGCTGAGAGCGCTGCCAAGTGGCGACGGGAACAAGAAGAGTTAGGTTCACTCCCTAGTCGGCTTGGCTTCCACATTTAATTACATTAAAATTCCTAGACATTTGAATGACTCGTCTTTCTCTAGCCAACGAGAGCCTGTTAAATGCAACCTTCTTTCAAAAGACTGCCAGTCTCCGGGACATAATTTCTCGGGAAAACTTTTCTTAACACGTTTAAATATATTCTACATTTAGAGGAAGGTTTGAATTTACTCCTGCAGTTGAGAACGGGACCTCAATTCGACTGCCCGCTGTTAATGGTGTTAATTAAATAAATTAGTGGGTGAGGTGCTGGATGAGGGATGGAATGGAGCGAGGGAAGAAGAACAAATAAAACAGGAAACTGAGACGGTAGGATATAAAAGGATCAGATTATTTGATTGTTATCAGATTGTTATAAAAAACTTTAATAAGAGCTCCTATATGTTAGTAAAATATGAGCGCCGCGACATAATTTCACTTTTTAAAATTTACATTAAAATATATCTGCTACTTGCCGCTGCCGTCAGTTGTTTAATTATAAATATTATGCGTTATATTATGGTCATTACTTCTCTTGATAAATACGACGACCATAAAATGTAGTAATTTAGTTGTCATGGGTATGGTGACCGCTACTGGTTAAGAGATTAGGAAAAACAACGGTCATTTTAAAAAAACTTTACTGCCGAAAATCACGCAGAGCTTCTTTTCTATCTGTAAGAACGGAATACAGGCTCACATTCGTCGTAGTCGATAATTCTGGCAACGATCAATCTTCCACCCTTTTCTCGGATACGCTCCTTTCCTATCCGCAATTTCTGATCTCGATTCGAAAGCTTTCTAAACCATTATTATAATTCTACTTCTCGTTGGTACTTAATTCACTACCCATTTATATTAGGAAAAAACCTATTAATTAAATAATAAAATGAAATTTAGTCTGAGATCTCTACGGTGTGCTTTCTGAAGACCGCAGTGTACAATCCGTCTCAACCCGTGATTGAGGATTTTTGCGACAGAAATTAATCAATGGAGGATCACTACCATCACGACAGCTAGGTTGAGTTCACATATCTGTAGCCTCATTGCCAGCCACATACGGTGGGTGTTCCACCTTCAGCGGTAACACCACAACGACTCAGTGATGCATATCCGACTAGCCGATGTCAAGATAACATTTTTCGTTAAATAATAACTACTTCAGGTATGCAAGAAGAAAAATTTTGGTATTTTAGGGTTTTCGTTCATATTCCTGGATGCTGAGGATGTAGTAAGCTTGGCAGCCTACTCGAATAAGTAGAAGGCCTTCGGTGATAGTCAATTTCAGTTCGGCAAATATATGTTACGATATTTGCCTTGTGGGCTGCGTAGCAATCATAAACTGCGGAGACCTGTGGAGGGCTTAGGCATAAATGGTGCCATCTATTTTCTGGCTTCTGAAACCCGTGCTGCATCGCTATAATTAGCTGAAGATTTTGTCTTTATGGATCAATCTTAATGGATTTGCATTACAGTAAAAAATTACGAAATGTGCCAAAATATTCACATAATTGTTCAGTATTGCCAAAAACGTGTTTAAAAGTTACACTTGCAGTTCTGGCTTTTGCAGCAAAACGTAATAGCAACGATCGATTGTAACTAGAAAATGCCGATAAAATTAAGGTAAACGAATTATTTACCATGCCACTGCTCGATCAATTTAAATTCCATAGCAACGCACTGAATTTTCGAAACTTTAAGGTTCTCAACAAACATACGTACATCAACACTAAAGACCACTTTGAAACACTAAAACACGCACGCTCCTACCCGAAAAAATAAATTGATAATTATATGAAGTGATATACGAATATGAAGTGATGATTATCACCACTTCATTTAATCGCTTCATATAATCGAATATGATTATATGAAGTGATATACGAATATGAACAGCAATTGTTTACGTTATATTGCTTACTGATTCGAATAAAAAAAAGTTCATAGCGAAAACGTCGATTAACCATTAGATTCTTTTTTTGAACATCATAATATTCATATTTTGATTATTAAAAATATTTACCTTTGAAGCGCTTTTCTCAGAAGCGTAAAATGACTATTTTGGGACTTTTTTCGCTATGAAAACTCGGCAATGTTATGAAAATACAGCCCCAGTGGCCAAATATTTTGTGCATGAGCGAGCCTCTTCTGCTGCATTCGTCAATTACTCAAAGGACGCTACTCGCATAGCTTTCATGCAGCGCGCGTTTTCCGCAAAGTTTATAGGATTGTGGTTTATATTCTACAAAATTTAGATCCACATCGTGAGAATGGACAATTCTTAAAGGTTAAAATTTAAGACAATGATATCAAAAGACGATCATTTGAAACCTAAACCCCACGAAGATGATTTGAAGAATCGTACATGCTACTTGCACGTTTTGAGATGCACGCACTCCGAAAGAGTCCAGAAAATAGGTTCGCGTTTCGATGCTGTTGGTATTTGCTTTCAATTGGTTCTCAGAGGTGCCAACTGCGCCCGCATCTTCCTCCGCTTCAAATATGTTCGATGGTGGCTATCGTTTTGACTCTTTAATTCCGTCGAACACTATTTTTGCAAACCTCTGTGGCCAGCACGTAATTTCATTCTGCTTGATTAACTCACATAACTTTTAAGATTACAACTATACTGTTAAAAATTGGAGTTGAAAAAATTGTGATTTTTCATAAGTTCAACTAGAAAAAGAATATCTTCTTTCATCCTTGTAGGACACTAACAAAACGTCGCAAAAGGCTGGATCGACAATTCTCCGAACTATCCCGAACTCTAAAAAGGTCGGGAACCATTGTCTTATATCTTAAGGAGTTCAATGATTTTCAAACCAAAAAATAGATTTTTTTCGTAACTTAAACTTCAGTGTAATCCCTAAAGTTACCCAGCGAAGAGGGTTCAGGAAAAAGAACTCAAGTTATAATGAAGTTTCCTAAACGATGTTCTCGGCCTACTGACCTCAGTTCCGCCACGTCACTCTTGTCTACCTTACAAATTACAGTTGGCAGATAAAAATAAGAGGCGGCCTCACGCCGGGCAGGATACTGTTTTTAACGTAAGTTTGGACCTTGTAAATTTTCATGAAGCTACGATGCCATAAAGTCACTGCAACGCACAGCCTGAGTTCACTACGAGCTTCGAACGAAACTCGACCGTGCGGAGAGTTTCTCAGTTAGGTAATAAATGTATCACATTACAGGTAATGAGTGAAATACGGAACTAGAAATACGATGACGCGGCACATAAGTGAGCTAGTACAGGAATTCTCTTCGAGATATAAGCACCGATTTAAAAATGTGAGAATAAAGACTGCAGGGCCACGATTTTTTTTGCTGAAGTTCTGCAGAAAAATGTAAGTGGGGTGAAGTCTGAAGTAACACTCATTTGTTTGACGGTGTTCAACATTTTGAGTTGATTTGTTTATAAATACCTATATTTCTCGAAGAAACATACATGGTAGGTGGAGGGCAAGGAGTGCCGGCTTAGTTCCGTCGTTGACGCTGTTTTACTCCTCTGGAGACCGAACTCTCCGGTAATGACTTCGATAATAAGACCGAGCGAGAAACTCAGCCCGCTCTGCCTCGGGGCAATATTTGATACCACTCGAAAAAATTCCAAAAGCAAGGCCTTTCAATGAAAAATATGTATTAAGTTTAATCCGATCCGCGATAAAAGGAAAGATATTAAATAACTTCTCCAAGTTAAAAAAGTACTTACGTCATGTAAGTTGAAAAATGTTTTTCGGTCTAAAAACGAAATTAGAAAAATGATCCCATCCGATCCACTGATAGAAAAATAGAAGTGTGGAATAAATTTGAAGTCGCTTGGCAGCTTTACGCTGCCTTGACTTATGAAAACGTGGTACTAGTTCCTAATAATTTTTTAAATACATCCGTGACGGAGTCCATCGTACTGAAGCAAAATTGATGGCATTCGATATCGCAAATGTTCTGCAGCCATCAGAACTTTTGCAGTTCAAATCATAGGCGCTGAGTCGGATCTGCAGGTCGCCAGAAGTTATCGGAATGAATTGCGGCAATTTATTACGTCAATATGAGAGTTCCATGTCATTGTTATGTCGCAAACTGAGCGCCCGGGAATGACTGTCACTGATGACTTCAAAACGATCGTTCATTTTAATGATGGAATGG